TATAATGACATTTTGTTCGAAAAATGTGTGGATCAATGTTTTTAAAGGATTAAAAAAAAATTTTAAATAACTTGTCGAATAAAAAATGACTACACACTAAGTACCGTATATGTATTCTAGAATGATCATGTATAGAGAAAATTAGCTAAAAGATATATACAATGATGATGTGTGCAGGTGACGCGCGCACATACAGCTACGTGGTTGCGCTGTCGACGGAGCGCTACCCGCCCGACTGGCAGGACATGCAGTACCTCGCGCGCATCATACCGCGCGTCTGCCACAACGTCAACAGGTTCATTACTGAATATATGTAACATAAACATTACCTTACACTAATTCAATCGTTCATTATGTGTACAGCAAAGAAGTTGTTTAAATTCCTGGCAGTGTTTACTCGTTGTCAGTTTTCGACAACATTATCACTTCATCTGATGTGGTATCAAGCTTAAGATATAAGAAATAACAGCGTTATTATAACATTGTTTTTTTACTGCAGGGTTTGTTATGCGTTCGGAGGTATAATAAAGGAACAGGTGACAGACATCACGCCCACCTTCCTCACGCAGCACGTCGTATCCACGCTGCGCCAGGCCGACGACCTCGCCACACAGGTACCTCTACACATACCGCGTACCACTTTGATTGACATAAAAACTTCATTAATGTCCTTATGTATGTTATAAATTATTGAATAAATATTGGTATAACTCAACAATGAGGATAAGTAACAATAACTTAATGTTAGATTATGTATTTAGTTGATTGCATAGAAATAAAAATTATATTAAATAATTACTAAATATTCATGTATGTATGTGCGCAGGTGCTGACGTCCAGCGGGTGTGCAGGGCGTATAGCGCAGATGCCGGTGGTGCTGCTGCCGGTGCATCTGGATCGTGACGCAGCGCTGCGCGCGCCCTCATGTCAGCGCTCACTCGTGCTGCGTCCCTTCCTCACGGGGGACTTCATGACGGGCGTCGCCGCGCTGCCGGGCTCTGACGCCATGCCGCAAGACGTAAGTAACCACCACCACTTACCCCAATACATGATTCCCTCTTTAACTACACTAACTCTACATGCCCTCTACAACTTCGTAAACTCGCAGCGTCACCTTTATCTTTACGCCAATGTGATATAAAAAATTGTACCTTAAAGTGTGAAATTGAATTTGTTTCTTGCATCAGGTTGTAGACAGGATGCGCAAGGAGCTGATGAGCGTGCCAGGCATCTCGCGCGTGCTGTATGACCTCACGCCCAAGCCGCCCGCCACCACCGAGTGGGAATGATCGCCCGCCTGACACGACACGTCACGTCACAGCACGTCACGTCGTACTACGACACGTCTTTTATATATTTTTTTACTGAACGAACGCACTCTAAGGCAGTGGTCCCATTCTCACGATATTGAACGGTTTTATAATGTGATGTGAAAATATTTGCCTTAAGAATTTTGTTCTGTTAAATATCAAATAAAGGCGTTTTTGTTCTCAATTAGAACATTTGGTTTGCGACTATTATTTTTAGTGTAGCGTACAAATGTTTGCTGGAGGCGTGCATTATTTTACGTCTTGTTTCTGTCTATGCTACTTATATTTAAAATGGACGAAAAATGCTGCTCGTCCTCCAGCACGGGTTTACTACTAATTGTTACTAGCGAAGTACGCAAATAGACTCAATAGTTTTTTTTCGTTATGTGTGGTATATTAGGTATTTGATTACATTTGTTATCGCTTTAGACCTGACGCTTGGTAAATGGTGTTTTTGTTGTCTATAGTTTTGCTTAGGTAAGACTGTAAATAAAATTTTCAATGTAATAAATATAAATAGGATCACTGCCTAATAATGAATTTGTAAATAGATTGGTATAAAGCGACACAAGGTATTGTGTCCATTATCTTTAGCTCCATTGATCAGTTTTGTAACAACATAGTAATTTATTATAAAAGGCTGTGTAAATTATAAAGAGCCCACAAGTACTGCGCACGTCGAGGTCGATTAAAACAATTCTTGTATTAAATCATAGACACATTGGTGTTTTATGGAATGGTTCAGTGTTATTGACTGGAAGTTTCATAATAAAAATTATATTATGCTTTATTTTCAATAAGTTTTTTTTATTTATTACCTTATCAGTCAACAATATAAATAATTAAAAAATACAAAAAGCCCATAGTTAATAAGAACATCCATAAAATGAGATAAATATGTCTATAGAGATGCTTTTCAGTCTACATTTCAAATTACTATCAAAACTTAAACGTTAGAAGAAATGGACATAATAATTTATTAATTTTATAAAGAGAAAATATTTCATTGTTCTTTATAAACACAAAAACAACTAAACCTACTTTAAAAGTTCTTAAAAAAGATAACAAAATCACATAGGCTACATGCTAAAAATAAATATCATGAGTCAGGAACCATTAAATTAATGTTTTTGCCAGTAGTCACCCCTCCAATAAAAGTTTCCTCTTCCCCTCTTATAGACAAACTATCACAGTGAGCTACTTTCTTTTCTCTCATCATAGCTGCCCTTTCCCACCTTGAACTTCCACAGTTCTTACATGAATGTAACGGTAATAATTCTAAAGAAATTGTCCTATTACTACAATCCAAGCATTTGAAAAATCGTTTAAATGTGTCTAAAACTTTAAGTGGATGCCTCTCATCCTTACAAAGTTGAGAAGCAGAAAACGCTGTATACTTGCATTTAGTGCACCTCACAGCTTTACATGCTAATTTATATGTATTCAACATCTTTTCTTCCATAGCTTCTTTCTTTTCAAGTTTATTAAAATATTTATCTTGCTCATCATCTTCATGTTGTTGAATGAGATTCTGATGGGCCGATGTAGCTTCAAGAATTTTTTTAAATCGTTCTGACATTGTTGGTTTGAAGGTTTTATCTTCATTTGGTTTAACTTTTTTGCATACATTTTCATCAGTACCGGAAGTATTTAATTTTTCTATAGCTCTCTTCTTCCCTGCTTCAGTTCCCTTGATATTGTTTGGATCTGTTTTCATTAAACCACCACTTCTTTGAATAAGTTTTATAGCATTTAACTTAATCTGTTCTGCTGTTTTCTGTCTGAATGAAACACTTAGATCAATACTACCATTGCCTTTCAAATTAAAACCTCTTCCTAGTTTTGGTGAATTCGCTACTTTTTCAGCTAAACTCAGTTCTGTTCCTGAGTTACAATTTGAACTAGATTGTGTTAATTTATTGAGTCGTACTGAATCTGATATTCTTTGTGCCGTTGGACTGTGTAATGTTGTGGTATTACCTTTCAATGAACCTGCCCCATATGGTGCTTTGTTGCTCATCAAATTACTATCACTTTCCGATTTGTAGTAATCACTTAAAGACATTAGCCTATTTTGATCTTTTTCTTTTATTTTTTTATTATTGGCTTTTGGTAAAGCAGAATATGCTTTGCCACCATAAATTACAGTATTTTTACCTAACACTTTATTTTGCAAGTTAACAAGACCTTTTCCCATAGTTGAAGATTGTAATTCTTGCCTTTTGGAGAATTTTTGATATTCTTGCTTTACATGGTATACACAGTGTTCACATTTATTTAAATTCACAATAGCTGTACAAGGCTCCCCATTTTTCTTTTTGCTCTTACATGTTCCAAAGTCTTTGGATTCTCCAAGAATCATCACCTGGTTAGGACTTGTAACACTGAGGCAGGCCTGGTCAGTGCTATTCTGTGACCTATCCAAAACATTAGGGTTTAAAATAGCTACAACAGTTCCCTCATTTGTTTTCCACAATTCGTGATATGCTTTTTGGAACAAAAACATTGAAATAGTTTTTATATCATCTTTAAGATCGCTGAGAGTCCAAATTAAAAATTGGCTACCTTTTTGTGATTTTTTAGGTAAACTTTTTCTAACTATAACTCCAGCAATCACCCAATCTTTTGACAAATCTTCATTTTCTACATATCTTTTGACTCGAAGCATGTTTACTGCTTCTCTGCCTTGCATTCTATCTAGTAGGGCAGCACTTGATACAAGTGGTTTAGTGATACGAATGCCGAAAATAGGATCCGTAAAAACATCTGATTTGTATTTATTATTGTTACTATTAGTCTCAGGAGCACCAAAAATGTACTTCGTTTTTTGTTCATTATTTTCTAAAGTTTTCTTTGCGAATGAACTATGACCAGCTAGTTTCACATCAATATTAGCTTGACGCAGTCTTACTTCAAAGTTTAATTTCTTGTCTATTTGATCTTTTTCCTTATTATCTAGCAATTTCTTTACTTCTGCCCCATAGTCATTATATTTTCTTTCTGTATAATTCCTTTTTTCCTCATCGTCAGAGGAGTCAGTGTCACCATTATGAATAACCGAGGTTTTTAATGATTCACTACTTTCTGGTATATTTTCTAAACAATTTGTTTCGAAAATGTTCACTTCTTTAACGCAAGGTGGTTTTTTCTCAATTTCTTCTTGTTTGTTGTCAAAGTCTGCACATAATAATTCTTCGAGTTGTGACAAATCATCTTTCTCATCCATATTCTACGATTATAATACAAATGAAGTAAGCCTATAAAGTAAATAAATTACAACTTTTAATCTATTTACGATTACTTATTTCTGATTACTTCTATTGCCGCCAAAAACTTTGACAACAGAATTGTTTCAATGACAGTGACAGCAACTTGCCCACTGTGATGGTGATACCATAACAAATTACCAAAGACAACTATGGTTTATTTTTCGTGTGGCCATTCCCAAAAGATTGCAAACAATTAAATCAAATTAAACTCTAATTTTCTCGTTTCTAAACTTAATATTAACATTTTATTTATCTTAACCATAAGTTAAAGTTACGTTGTGCGGAGCATCATAATAATATAGAAGAAAAATAGGATGAAAGGTGATATTTTTGCATATGTTTTCTATAGTTGTAGATTTTCTGTATACTATTGTTCAATCTCCTCTGCCAAGCAACTGCCAAGAAACAATAAATCAAAAAATAACAACAGATTTAAAACTATATTTAAAATAAGATGTGAAAAAAATCATTGAGGTTTGAATCAGTTTGAATTTCTAATGATTACTACATTGACGTCTCTGAGGGAAGTATAGATCTAAATAAGCCTCTTTTCGGAGTTTTTTCTGTATTTCTTGAACTTTCATAATCTTTAATGCGGCCTTGCAACTGTTATGGGCATGCGCAAAAAAACAATCTCGGATTGGCTGTAACAAAGTAGATAAATTATAAAACCATCAAAATTCAAAATAATATCCCTAAATACTTGCTTTAATATGTACCAAAACTTTACCTTGAATTCAGCGAGTTTATAACCCTGAAACTTTGCTAGGCAATGTGTGAAAAATCTGGAATAATGTTTCCTGCAAAGGAAGATTCTATTTTCGTATTGCCAATAGTCACCCTGAGCGGAACATGAACGTCCACAGGCTGCACAAACATCCAAGTTGTACGGTACACATTTAATCTGAAAATAAACTTATCGTATGAGATTTGTATAAAAATAAACGTAAAAATGTAAGAAAAGTAGACACTACTATTACTCAAAAAAAGAAATTTATAAAGGTACTATTCGACGAAGGACCATATACCATTTATAAATTAAAATAAAGGATATTTCGTTTGTCTTAAAAATACAAGTTCATACCTCAACCGCGCATCTTAATGCTTTTTTTCCAGTGAAACTATAGGCAAAATTTAATGTTCTTCTTTTGCATTCAGGATAGTAGTCGCAGGGTCTTTGAAAAAAAAAAGCAATTAATTAGGTCACAGATTAAATGGCACTAAATTTTTTGTATCTGTAAAACATGTATACAAATTTTTTACTTCGTTTTTCTTGAAATACTAAATATATCAGGTAACTTACGCGGGATAATCTTTAGGTGTGAACAATGGTTGTCTTTTGGAGAGGGAATTGAATGGGGCACAATTTTTCGGGATAGGCTTTTCAGGTAGTATTTCCCTCGGCGGTGGTTGATATTCGTGTTTTTCCTTCCAACGTGGTGTTTTTGATCCGTAATATAGCTTGCTGTATATCTATTAATATTAATGTTATACGTTTGTAAGTACTGTTCTTAAATAAATTTTCGTTGTAGTAATTTAAGTAACCTATTAAATTCCGTAGTTATGTTGAACAAGTTAAAACCTTCTCGACAAAGTTTTGTAGAAAACTACTTCTCGAATATTATAAATATAACTAGTACAATGTTTACCCTTTGTGTTACTCGTGAAAATGCGTCTCGAGTTTCATTATAAGAGGCCGGACCCACATTTGGTTGAATCTCTCTAACGATGCGTCTCATAAAAGGATTTAAACAGGGGCCAGATTGTGGCAGCACTTCTCGCGGCAACCCCGTCCCAAAGCATACCCGAGGTGGTTCCTTCTTTGTTATCACATATTCGAAATCTGAAAAAAAAACTTTAATTGACTTTCAAAAGATGTGTAAGTATGTAAGGGCTGTAAAATACTGCATTCTCGTTTCTGAATGTAAAATGTTTATCCAGAGAGCTCTGGATATAAGAATGCAAAAGGAGTAAAGGCAACATTTATCTATGTTTTTAAGAAGTCCAAAGACAAAATAGACGAAGATCAAAAGAAAAGTTTGACGCAGAAAGGCGGGTAGTTCACCACCTTGGTTTGACACAGGTCATATTAAATAGTCCAGTTCATCTTGACTTTTTCAAATTAAAGACCGTAATTACCACCGTGGAACGCCTCATGCATATTATTTAGGCGGAGATATCGACGTTTGTACGGCCGCTGCATGTTGGCTTTCTACACGGACTGATCATGTTGGGGTTCGTGATGTAAAGATAATAAAAAATATGACAAATCTGTGAATGTTTATTGGGGCGCACGCTCAATGCCAACTAGGGTGTACTTAATTTTTTTATATACAGTCCTGAATTATGATGTCCAATAAAATTTGTAAAACGGATAAAGGTCACATCAATATAAATGTTAAACTTAATGAATTTAACATTGAAAGTATTCACGTTAAGTTTTGAAATATTCTGTAGCCACTCGTTGTTTCAAATAATAACGGTAGTTAATTATACATAGTAAGCATAGACAAGCAATCAATGATATTTATTTGAAGTGATAAGATTATTCCTTGTCACAAAACAGTCTTTATAAACACTGTTGTAATCGGAATCACTCCGCTTATTTTTCCAATTATCATTTTTTATGAGGTACCGAACTGAACATATGTTTCGAATTCTATGTATTAACACAAGCAACCTAGGATGTATGTGACTGAATGATAATGAAAATGTACATTTCCAATAACTTTTCAAAATGATTGCCACCCTAAACACAAATCGTGTAAGACGGGCATGCCTTCTTTTGTTCGTGTTATAAGAAATTGGTGACATGAAAATTGCGGCGTCCAAATCACGAAAAACAAACTTTATTACTTAAAGTTACCTTCAGTTATATCCCATGCCATTTTTTAGACACAGAACTGACATAATATTCATAAATTTCGCATCTTTTACTATTATTCTAAGAGTAACAGTATTGAAAATACATAGGGAATACTTGGGGAACACGGGAAACTTATTTCATTTTATATTTTGTAAAATTATAGTTACAATAAAATTATTATGAATGTATGTATTTAACAAAGTTTATTTAGAATATCACACTAAGCAAAATTAAATTATATGAAATTCGTTAACACAAAGGAAAAAATATTTACGAAGTGGTTTTGATATAAATTGTCATTTTTTTACTTTTTTTATTTCTTTAAATTATTGAATAGGTATCGACGTTTTCAGCTTTAAGACCATCTTAAAATATTATAACGTTTAGAATATTATAATATTGTTCGTCCGTAAAAATTCAAAACTTAAAAAGGTGCGTACTGATAGCTCAACTATATAATTTAATTAGGTCTAACAAAATAAATTACAAGTAACATTCTCTATAATCGTGCTTGACTGTTCCTAACCTAAGATGTCAAAGTCACTGTCAGTGTTATTCTTTCAAAGTCATTGAAATAAATATACGTTTCTGCGAGCGAGTTTGTATAATTTTCCAATACGAACTATTCGATACGACACACGAGTTATTTGTTTTGATACGATAGACATTAATAACGCGGTAGTTGGATTGTGAATAATTTAGTTATTAATTGTTTATGATAACTTTTATGTGAAAAATAAAGGTAAATTTAAGTTTTCTTGCCCTACTTGTTGATGGTGTCATATTACTTTTCAATGTTACTTTTCTCGCAATTATGTCATAGCTGCTAATAGATCACTTTGTATGTGCAATAGCAGTTTGACTCAATAAATGTTACCGGTATTTTTTAATATTAGGATTATATAATTAAGTTTTTATGTTTTCTGACTATAAATGAAAGTCAAACTGGAGAACATAGTTATCCTTATGTTTAACTACTTATTTGTGATAATACGATCGCAATAATTATATTAGAAAAGTATATAAATTTTAACATGTACTAAAATAAACTTTAGATTATATCATTGTTAATATCTTATAAAAATGTTTGTTTTTTTTTTCAGTAAAATGCCGTTAAATACAAAGTTGTTGTTGCCTGCTGCATTGGCATTATCAATAGTCACGGTGACCGCTTTTGTGGCTTATTACATATTCAAAAAGGATGAAGAGGAAACAAGTGAAAAGACAGTTAAAGCACCAAAATTAAACACAATTGAAGTGTCTGTACCAAAAAGTATTGTTCCTGCATTAATTGGTAAGTTTAAGGTTTTATACGACATCTAAATAAAAAACAATATGCCTGCTTATTTTTTATTTAATTATATTTACTAGTAATTAATTCTATAAGTAATATATTAGAAAAGTTTTTACTATAACTTATAAACTAGAAATGAAGGTTTAGTAATTGAGTTTAACAAATAACCAATGCATAAATCTGTCACAAAGTAAACAGTTCTTTTTAAGGTTTTATAAGGCACTGTTAGTTGTTAGTCTTAAATTATTTAGACATGCTTGACTCATCCAAGGTTGCAAGATGACAAAATTTATTTAAACAGTTGTTCTTCTGCCAGTTATGTTTCTTTCAACCTTTATAACTATATTAAAAAAAACTTCATAATCCTATGTGTTCTTTTAGACTATGTTTTGTATCTATGCCAAATTTCATTAAGATCCATTGAACCATTCTGAAGATATCTTTTAACAAACATCACTCCATCTAAACTTTCGCATTTATAATATTAGGAAGATTGATTTTGTATGATACATTTTAAACTAAATATAAAATGGGTAACACGCACACAATTTACCTGGTGTTGGCACAGTTTCCAAGCCATCAAGGCCTTTTTTAAGTTGAGTGGGTCTGGTATTATTTGTAGTTGCAGTCCATCAATCAGTGATAACCATTTTAAATTTATTTGATGTCTAATGAAAGTTTAAATAAGATAATGTTATATTTTGACATTATAAAAATCCTTGATGTCATTTTAACAAATAAATGTAATATAAAACCTCTTATGCTTCAATGCTTATTGAAATTTGAAACTGTAACTCAATACAATATTGACTCAAAAAAAAATATTGTAAATGATGCTTGAATTTTTAAAATAATCTTAAACTTTCACTTTTTTTTTACATCATAAGGTGGCAAATTAGCGAGCGGCCACCTGAAATCGCTGAAATATAAAATTACATACATATTTAGTACATGTGATGTATTAGCGTTGCTAGTAGTGAAAAACCAATTAGTGACAAGTACCATTGGTTTGCCATCCCTTTATTACAAGTATCTATGCATATATAATCTTCAATAGATTATAGATAACTTTGTCTATGTCAATAGAAAGTATGGTGAATTTGTTTTTCAGGTCGAAATGGCTCCAATATAAAGGATATTGAGAGTAAGTCAGGTGCAATGATACATTTCAAGAAGTTCAGTGACAAGGAGTATGACGTATGCATCATCAGGGGTCGCAGTCAAGCCACTCAGATTGCGGATGCCATTATACAAGACTTCATAAAGCAACAGCCAGTTATTGAGACGGATACCATGTTGGTACCGGGATGGGCTTGTGGCAGGATCATAGGTAATGTGTCTACAAAGCAACAAGAATGTGGGAGGAAGTGGTGGACAAATTGAAATCTGTTGTCCTGTCTTATATGTGTTATGTTTATAGTTACTTAATGAACTTATGTATTCAGGTACTGGAGGTGAAAATATAAACAACATAAGTCACAGAAGCGGCGCCCGAGTAAAGATCGAAGGTTCACCGTCTGCAGAGAGCAGTACCCAGCGGCAGATCACTTTCCGAGGTACAAAAGAGCAGATTCGGGTTGCCATGGATCTTATAGAGAATTATGTAAGTTAAATTTAATAAAACTGTTATTTTTTTTAAATTTTTTTTTTGTTTCGACAACATTCTCTTTGCAAAAACATAGACAATAATATGTGTCAATTATAATAAATATTTGTGTCCAGGTTGCACAGGAAAAATGCCGTCGCGAAATAGAACAATCGAAGAGGACACCTCGGGTGACCATTCCGCCGCCCTCGGTGCCACAGCCTCAGGAGACCCCAGGTAGACCGGCCCTCAGACATGTCAAGTGTAAGCCTGGTAAGACTAACTGCATGCTCGTTTGTTCTGTTGTTGCACCTTGTCTATGGCTGAAAGGTATCTGTCAAATTTCAGTAGACCATAGACTTAGTGTTGTCATACCTGAATGATTACTTTTTTTTAATATCTTTCAGCCATAGATATGCTAAGCCTGTATTCAGTGATTGATGCTTTTAATGTTTTATATATTTCGTCTTGTATACAACGTTATAAAAACTATTTCACCTCAGATCCAAATAAATTGGAAAATCAAGAAGCTGTAAATGGCAACAATGTTTTTCCAGTGGACATCAATTTATTTGAAGGTAGTGTGTTATATCTACAGGGTGTTTATTTTGTAAAGGGAAAAGGATGGGGTTGAATATGTATAGTTTTGCTTAGATTTTTTGGTTTGTATATTTGGCATGTTGTTTTTGTGCACCTTTTATGTATTTGTATGTAAGCACCTTATTAGAAAACATATATGAACATTTTGAAAGTATAGTAAAAAGGGGTTTGATTTTTTTTTATTGCTTGATGGCCATTGAAATATATTTGTGGAAAATGAGTTTTTAAGTATTTGTAAGCTGCATAGAATAAGGATTGGTATATATTTTTTTGCTAGTATTATAGTATAAAACTTTGGTGAAAAAAGAGCTGTTTCGAAAATTTGTAGTTTTTTTTTTAATTCTATTACACATTTCAGTAATTATGTGAAGGTTATTATGATATGCATACGGTAAGTTAACAATCTCACCATAAGGACAAAAATTTGCACGCATATTTTCTATGACAAGTTTTATACTTAATTTTAAATGGGTAGGAAATAAATGTCCTCGACTATGACCTATGTTTAACTTTGTAGAGGCGAGCAGTTCCTCAATCGAGGTGTACGTGTCAGCAGTGTCTTCTCCGTCGAGGTTCTGGGTACAGTTCGTGGGTCCGCAGGTAGCACAACTCGACAACCTTGTCGCACACATGACTGAATATTACTCTAATAAGGAGAACAGAGCTGCGCATGCGGTAAGTACATAAGGATAGAAGTATATAAGGTTATATAAGATAATGTATTATTTGCAACAATCGTAATTTTATTTCTCTGACTTTAGGAATGAGTAAATTATATGGAAGTTAATCGTTGATTTTATTCAAGTGACATTCAAAGGACTATTACTTTTTCTATATAATAGAAGTCATTTTGGATGTATAAGTGAAACTAGTTCTTACCTTTTGTTAGTATCAACGCCTACGTTCTCAGGATTTTTTTACAATATTTCATACAAACACTGCAATTTTATTTTTTATATGGATAGATCTTTTTTTGAGTTAGTGGTAATATGTATGAGAAGTGTATTTAGTGTGTGATGTGTGTATGACAGCTGGAGACGGTGAGCGTGGGTCAAGTGGTTGCGGCGGTGTTCCGGCACGACGGCCGGTGGTACCGCGCTCGCGTCCATGACATACGACCCAATGAGTTTGATGCCACACATCAGGTAATAACCACGTGCTTCAACTGTCACTCACTTTCTCGAATTTAAATTTAAATCTCGTCGATATACAGTTTGAGAAGTGTCGGTTTTATTATTTCCGAGGTTTTTCCTATCACCCTTTATTTTTGTGCCATTGGGTATTGGGCCCCTATAGTTATCCTGTAGTATTGCGATGAGCTAGGACTAATAAATTTAGCTTGTTGAGTCACAGCTCAACGGTTCTAGCCTGTGTGACTTGATCGTTTGAATCGGTTCAAAGCTTATGTACATAAGTATATCACCATGTATACTCGGCAGTGATTCGCCACTGCGATCACTAAATAATTTCTACAGATATAGAATACTAGCTGTCGCCCGCGACTCCGTCCGCGCGGCATAAAAAAAACCTAATTAGTAGCCTATGTGTTCTTCCAGACTGGGTTCTATATGTACACCAAATTTAAGCTAGTTCCATGCAGCCGTTCTTGAGATACTTTCAAAAAAATATTCATCCATCCATCCAAACGTTCGTATTTATAATATTAGTAAGATGTATATACGTTTTGTGCAGGTGGCAGACGTATTCTTTTTGGATTACGGCGACAGCGAATATGTGGCCACGCACGAGCTTTGTGAATTACGCGCTGATTTGCTGCGGTTAAGATTCCAGGTGAGTTATTTATGATGCATATTAAAAGATCATTTAATTTGATAGAATCTTTAAAATATATTTCCCTTTATATTTTCTATTTATTTTAGGCAATGGAGTGCTTCCTAGCAGGTGTGAAGCCGTCAGGCGGTGCTCGCTGGCATTCGCAAGCTATCGAACGATTTGAAGAATTAACACAAGTAAATTAATAAAATTATGCTAAACTACGAATAACTGTTACTTTCAAAAGTATAAAGTCAAATCAAAATAAATATTTTGTTATTTTTTATATAAAATGTACTTGTACATTTTCCAGGTGGCCCGTTGGAAGCCTCTACTGTCCAAGACGTGTACGTACAAGAAGTCAGTTGCTATGGTGGGAGAGAAAGAGAAGGAGATACCCGGAATCAAACTGTTTGATGTCACCGAAGGTAACGTTGTATTCTTATATTTACATTAACTAAGTTACAATTCATTATTACACTTAGTTTTTCAAAGAGACAAAGAGTGAGAGTCAGTTCAGTAGTTTGTTGAGGGCAAATGATGAAATGTTTTCTCCTTTATTATTAAAAAAAACTTAATTAGCTAATTAGCCTACGTCGTAAAGATGTATGTTCTACATCTATGCAAAATTTCAGCAAGATCCATGCAGCCGTTCTGAAGATACGTTCTAACAAACATCCATCCATCCATCTACACTTTCGCATTTATATTAGTAAGTATAGCAATATGTTGTATGTGCAGAAGGTACGGTGGAGGTGGGGGAGGCGCTGGTGGAGGAGGGGTGGGCGGAGCGCAGCGCCTCGCCCCGCCCCTCGCCGCCGCCCGCGCGCGCCACGCCCAACTCGCCCTTCGGAGACCTCGGCAACTCCAGGTAACATAAACTATTTGTTTTTTAAATATGACGTCACAATAGCTTATTGTATGAAGCGAAAGGTGTATTATGAATGTAACAAATGAATAACCATAGTCAAAGTTTTCTACAAGGGCGTCATCAGCTGATGATCATAGGAAGGGGCTAGCCGTTGATTAAGAGGGGGATAGCAGTAAAAAATCTTACATATTATCCAATTTTTAATAAAACCTGACAAACAGTTTAGCTGCTAGAGGTTATATTGTCATTTATCTTTTGAATGAATGGTGAAATGGTTGTGTTTTTTATTTTAAAGGGTGCTGGGTATGTTGCCGAGTACCCGCTCGTCCTCCTTGCCAAAGGACCACAAGGATGACCGCAGCGAGGACCATACGCCAGAACTAGTCAAAGGTAAAAACATAACTTGAGACACAAAAGAGGTATTATATCGAGAAAACAATACTCTTTGTTCAAAATACACAAAGCAGAACGCGGAGCGCAAAAAAAAGAAAAATTATTATATTTTGTTAACACTGGCCGGTTACATTTTTTTTAGGTTTAATTTAAAAATGGAACATTTGTCGAATGTTTTTTTTTTTAATTTAATTTTATGTTTGTAGATCTGACACCGATATCGCCGTCAAAATCTCTATCATCAGGCTTAGAGACTTCTGACAAATTAAAATCAGTATCCAACTTCGATTTATCGTATTCCGAATTCGGTAAACCTTCACAAAATGGTTCAAATGAAGATTTTATTAATAAAGAGAGAAGTAATATTGAAACAGACATTTCATCAGTTCCAAGCACACCGTCTTTTAAGACGAGAGATGAATTCAAAGCAAATATGAACAGAATTGACTCTCATCATAGTAATTTGGAGACGTTGGGTCGGTCGCAACATTGATTCAGTCATATGCGTTTCCATTACCGAAACTTACAAAAACATGTCATCAGTTGAAATATTATATATTTGGACTAATTTTCTACAATGAAACGATTAGTTTGTATATCTAAGACTTTGTAAAATTTTGTACTAATTAAAAAATTAATCCTTTATACATCCAAACATTCGCATTTAGGAATGTTGTAATACTTGAAATAACAACATGTTTTATGTGATTGTTTCGAGTAGTGTGAACTTAATATAATATTAGTAATTTTTTCTGTTCCGATACGCAAGATAAGTAATCTTACGTATTAAATATTTCAAAGTCTTCATTTTTTTGTTGTATTTTTTTAGTTATTTAGTAAGTAAATGACATTGTTGATTTCATATCGTACTTATGTATCGTTTATATGTAAAATGCAGTTAAATAAGAAGATACCCCAAAAACACTAATGGCCATTTATAAAAGTTTTTTTTTAAATATTAATAGTCTGTGACTTTTTATGGCAACACTTTCCTGTCATTATATGTAATTTTTTTAGTCTGTGATTGTAAATAACTACTGTTTTATTATAAGTAGAAAAGCTTTAACATTGTCGCTTTGTAGATTTTGTATGAGATTGCAATTTAGGAAATAAGTTGAAAATGGAGTTAATAAGAAAAAGTTACAAGCGAATATTTATTGCTGGTCAGTGCCTAATTGGTCGTAATGGAGACCCTAAGTGCGACACTAAGTGTAAAAATATATGTCCCCGGTTGAAAAACTTTGCAATAAAATATGTCTAATAAAACAGTCCTTTTTCATATCTTTAAAAATAACTCGTTGCATAAATGGTGCTAAATTAGAAACAAGTTTTTTGTTTATATTATTTAAAAAAAAAGTTACTTAATAGTTTTAATTTTAGTCTGTGGTATTCGCTTTTATAAATAAAAAGCAGTGCCATATCAATAAGTACAAATATTTATTCTGTTGTGAATGGTATGTATGATTTGTAGATAGAGCGGGAAAACAAGCTTTTTAGTTTTTTTTTAATCTGCCAAAAAACATTAACGTAAAGAGAAAAATTATTATTTTTTTCAAGGCAATTATTTAAGTATAAATGGAAATAAAGAGAGAAATAAAGGAAAAAGAATCCAATACGTAAAAAATACGTATTTAAAAAAAGTTTTTTGAGGAATAGAAAAAATCATTGTTTTAACGGTTGTGATCTATAATTCATGGCGATTTAATTATATTGCTACCTCCATATCGCAGTTATTTTTGCAAAAAAATGGAGGCTTTCTATGTGCTAAATTATTGTTACTTTAAATAGATTATAATAATATCTTACAAGCAGTTATTGATATTTTTCGTTTGACGTATCGAAAAATTTTGGTCATTTCTTTAATATGGAGGTAGTAATTGATTTATCTCTAATATCTCGAATGTACAGATAAGGTTGATTTTTTTTGTAAGAATTTTTAAATAAAAAAACAAATATGAGTGCCTTTAACTTTACTTTTATTTCTATTAACCATTGACCCAGAAGACTTTATTAAAAATAAATATAAAATATAATTGATGGTATTAAAGAAATTCCAGGCTTCATTATAAATTCCAAATTATTGGTAAGTGTCAAAAATGACATAGAAATTGCAATGTTGTGATTGCATAAATTATACAATTAACTTTTTTATTATCAGTAAGATTGTTTGGTTAACGACTCCGTTATATAACCAGTACTGCGATTGAATAATAATTGCCTTTACCGCCATTATTTTACAATATGGCCGCCATCGAAAAAAAATATTATGTAAATGCGTTAGGCTCTTTTAGGACAGACACACAAGAAAAGTCCTTTTACAAACTCGGAAAGAAATCCTAGTAAATACCAATTTTATTATGAATTTAAAAATTTATTTAATATTATTTTGCAAAAAGTGTACAAACAATTTGAAAAGATGTGTAACTTTACGACCGTGGAAAAATACAAAATGTATATTGTTTCTAAATCTGTTTCGTAATAAAATGTACTAATAGCTTCGGCTCTAATTAATATCGTGTGAACATTTCATACGCGAGATCCAAACGCAATCGAATAACATACGTTGATAAACTTTATGACTTAATTAAGACGTCCCTAAAGATAAATTCCGACTTAAATATCCCATTAATATCTGTAATGTTTAAACTTGTAAATGTAAGGTTTTTTCTTATTAAAAAAACAATATTTTACATTAAACAAAGGCTTAAAACAATAATGAAATGCTTTGTTTCGTGAATAATAATTTACTTCATAGCGGAAATGTTTCTCGTTGAACTGGGAACAGTCGAGGGCTGGACTTAAGAGAAAGCTATGGCATATCGTAATAAGCTTTCGAAAATGAAACCTTTACAGAGCTGCCTATAATGCTGGTTAGAAAGGATTTAGAACGAATATATGTTCAGGGTAACAAACAAAATGTTAACCGTTTTTGCAGAGGAGGATTCCACTATCAATTACTGGTACATTTATATATTAAGTACTAGCTGTCGCCCGCGACTTATCTATGGCAAATTTCAGCGAGACTCATGCAACCGTTCTGGAGATATCTTCTAACAAACATCATCCATCCATTCAAACATTCGCATATAAATTTATATTAGTAAAATGTTACCAAATATTAAAATAAAAATATAAATATTATAATTTAAACAAACCTTATTAATCTTGTAATCCGTTTTTTTTCAGTTACGGTTACCTACGGTTATTTTTATTCCATTTTCGGATTTCTGATAGCGTCGGTCACGGCTATGGTTACGGGTCTGGATAACATCGATGTTGCATGCAACTGTTATTGTTTTGTCACGGACTCGTTAAGTGTGAAAATGAAAGTGTTATGCAAATGATCGCACTGGTGTGAATTGCCTTCTCACCTCGCTTTGAACTGCCTTTTGAGATTATTTATGTGTACCTAGTAACATGAAAATATGTATTGTTCAAAACATCTATCGCAAAATCACATTTTTTTTCTCGCATAGCTATGAGCTGGTACTTTTATCCTTGAAACCCTCAACTTTGTATTTCGCCATCATACACCGCTGTCGAGTCTTCTATGGTCTTCCTGGATCACTCTAAGAATCTAAGAAAAGTGAATAATTTTTTTATATACATCGAATCCTTTGAAAAAGCTTAATACCTACTATGTTACTTTTGACTTTTGGATCTCTAAAATCTTAACTCTCGGTTATTCAAATAAATATTCAGTTATTTAGCACAATAACGCAATGAGAACTTAACTGCACACATTTGTCTACGTCAACTTCACCATATCTTTGGTCATTAACCTTATTTCTGTTCGCAGAATTATAAATATTATTTATCTAGGCTCTGCGATATTATCTAGTGTAGTTAAAGATACACTGAGCTATTTTATTATGATTACGTTTGACATTTCAGATTAATCATACCAATGCCCAGTGCCTATTATTTATCTTTATATATAACTAGCAGTTGTCCGCGTTTCTTTTTTTTTTGCCCGGAATTAAAAGGATCTAGGAATCTTAATCGGTCACCCGGTGAAAGATTTTTTCAAATCGGTTCAGTAGTTTAGGGGCTAATTAACTTCAAAAAATAAATAATTCATTTTTATAATAATAGTATTCAAGTCCGTAACTCTGAAGGATAGGCATAGATTATAAATTTTTTGGCACTTCTGTCGACACATTAATTTTAGTATAATATTTGCTCAATAGTTTGTTTTACTATTTTACGTATTTCTTTATTATCAATCTGTTCTTAAGTTTCATTAACAATTTATCGATTTGCTACCCAACGAATTTATTTCTAAATAACCTCAAAAAAGTGTAATAATTCAACTATGCGTTACTTTATATAACTTATTTTTTAATATTTTTCTGCGATAAATATTAAAGCCAGGTTTTAAATTGAGAAAAAGAAAACAATATTATAATGTTTGCCGTCTATATAAAAGAACCTATTGTTACAGAGTTTAAAACGATGTTATGTAACTGCTCGGTTGGCAGAGCGCGGACAATCTTAAATTGATGGAAAGAAAATAACGAATTGGAAAAGAAACTTACGAAGGCAACCGACATAATCATTATAAACTTCATAATGATTGTTTGAAAAAGAAATAAAGGCTTAAAAAATATTATAATACAATCGGTGAACTGTGTTGACATCATATGAAGACAGTTTAAAATAATCCGAAGATATTCGTTTTTTTTTTAAAGTCCAAATTAAGTTTTTAAAGTAAACTTATTAGTGTTTAATAGTAAAATGACTTAAACCGACTATACGTACTGCATATTTATTTAATTTTATTCTCTAACTATATTAAAATAGGGTTTAAAATACGGTAGTAAATTGCTAATGGACTAAATGTTTTTTTTTGTCGTAAGTAATGCAAGTCGGTGCATATTAAATGTAAGTTACACAACGTGTTACTGTAACTACGCCACATTTTATAAGGAGAATGGATTAAAACGTTTATTAAAATTTGAAAAAGTATTTTGCGGAACAGAACTTTTCGCTTTGTTCCTTCAACGTCCAGCGTAGAGTTGAATACGTAACCTGCTTTATGGTTATTTATGATGCCAAGATAAATGCGAATTATAATATATCAATCCAGTTTTGTACATCAGTGCTATGTCCAATTGCTAGATTCAATAAATATGTTTAAGATAAAAAATATTATAAACTTAGGTTATAGTTGTTAATTGTTTCTCTTCGGAAATCCTGTAAATAATAATTGAAAAGAAAGCTGAACCATGCGTGCTAAACTGTCATTTTATTCTTTGTAATTGATTTTATATCTTACTTAAGTACAAACTAAGGATAAACTGCTTTTTAATTTTTCTTTTATTGATCTGTGGGCGGACATAATAGGCGTGGGCTTGACATTTGAATGTCTAGTTTGTTCTGTAAATAATCACAGAGCATTAATAGTAATTAGACTTTTATAGGTTAGAGCTAAGTCTATAGTTTCGCCCACGTATTACTTATACCTATTAGGTGCGCAACTAAGTTCTCGCTTTTTTTCGATAATAAATCCATATAACTATACTATGTATAAATGTCTTTGTAATGTAATAAATATAGCCTAAGTTACACAGTGATAATGTAGCTTTTTAACCAATCCGATAACAATAACGAAGTAACAGCCCAAGGCTCCTGAGGGAGCCCTCAAGTCTTGTTACTCTTAGAACGAGTTTCAGACTAAGCGCCATCTGCGCCCGGTCACCTCAAGCGTGGTGAAGCTGTAAATGCCACATCAAGGCAAACAGTAACCATTCAGTCACAAAAAAAGTAGTTTTAATTGGAAAAAGAATTTAGGAAATCGATCATTAGTTTTTGAGTTTATTTGTTACATACAAAAGTACAAATCTTTAATCTTTACCATATTAGCATAGAAGATATACATATAATATGACTGTCGTCCCGTCTGTTGGTTTCACATTAAAAATTTATAAATTCGTAAAAACTTGAGAACAATCAAAGTTATTTGATGAAATTGGTTGATCTGTGCAATAGTTTATTACTACAAGTTTTTTTTTCTTATAAAACATTTATAAATTCAAGTTTAAAGTTATGAACTTGAATTACAAGTAACAAAGTACTTATTACTGACATATTGTGAACGTACAAAACAACTTTTTGCGAGCGAAGTTACCACACTGGCATAATGTCAACTACTTTGTTACCGTGTCCGGTTTCTTGTGAACTATTTATAATAGAAAACGTATAAACATTTACTTGAAATTATTTGTAGCGCTTTAAGTAAATTATTGTGCGGGGTATGATTTAAATAATACTGGCAACCAGACTTAAATTTATCTAACCTCTTCATACTTATAAAGAAAGAAAAAATTTGAACGCCGTGTTACCGCTGCTCGTTTGCCCTATTCTCTTAATAAAAAAATGTAACACGTCTCTGGTTTTACTCACGTTTCGCCAACAATTCAGTTACTTGCTGATAGAATAAAAGCTTTCGATTGTTAAAAATTTCATAAAATCGACATTCGATCGAACGTTCGAGAATAAAATCCTTAATATTAGATTCATTTTAAGATAAAATGTAGATGACAATATGCAGTTCGCTTTTAAAAGTGAATATGGACGACTGGAAAGTGAAAACAGCTTGTTGTCGTCAGTTCGTTAGTTAATTTCGCTTCCGTTTCATTAGGCCTGCGCAGTTGGCGGAATCAGTGCAATCTTCAATACCGATTTTACGATACCAATAAACTCCCCACCTACCCTAAACCTTACTTTCTGTCTGCCACAAAATGCAAAACAAGATTGTAAAATTTTATGAGGCAAAATTGATCTACTTTCATTAAATATGTAAGCACACTAAAAAAACTGGTTGTTTGTATGCACAGTTTTTTTTATTTTGTTCTTTTATTTTTGTGGCCGTTGTAAATGTCCTTGCTCGGGTATATTTATAGCAGTTTCACAACCTTGACAGACCTATCTAATATAGACCATAGGTAACTAAGCTCTTATAATTGGTATGAAGTAAAGTTAGTATGTCATAACAATTCGTTCTGACATGGATCCTTATTGTTGAAATCATAAAATACATCGTTGGGTGTGTGTGTTTGTGCGTGTGTGTATGTGTGTGTTGTTATGCAAATTGTCACGAACAGATATTAATTAAGTTACATGAAAACTTCGTGCTTACATTTCTTTAAAAGTACATTCCCGATTAGAAGATTCCAGTAAATAATTTGCTCTATCCAAAGTAATAAAACCTAGCATATTATCCGGAAGTTGGTAGTCTATAAATAGCGTCGCGTATACTTATATTTCTTACTTAACTAATACTAGCTGAAGCATTGATAGAAATTACCTCAGGATTTTTATGCATTATAAATTGAAAAATCAAGTAGTCCGACGTTACTCTTATAATTTTTCGGGGAAGAGTAGCTACAAATGAAACGAAATCAGTCAAGATAATATTTTTTAACCTACCACATAAATACAAACCTACCCGAGAAGGACGTTATCCTCCTTTAAGACAAGTAAAAAAAAACAATGTCATGGTCATGGTTGATTGAAACACACTTGCCATCTGGCAGAATGCATGTCGGCTTTGCCTCGTAGCGAACCACCCAGGTGAGGATTTAGTCCTTTTGTTTTCCATTAAAGGCTGAGCAGGCGTTAAAAAAGTACCCGAAGTCCGGACTAGGGGCCTCCGTGTAGAAAGTGAAACCGCTTGTCGAAAGGTTGCTATAAAAATTGTAGTGTAGCCTATTGCGAGTTCAGTCGAAGCGTGCCGCGCGCGACCGTTGTACAGTTTTACCAGTTTCCCGCTATTTGGAAGTTATGGTCAGTTGTTTTTTTTTTAATAATTTAGTGTAGCAGTAAGTTTTTATATTATGTGAGTACAAACACGATAAAAACAACCGAAGTTTTCACTTTAATTAGATGGTTTCCTTTTTTATATTTAAATTAATTACACAGATTTAATATCTTATCAGTAAATTATGGCTTATAGATATGGGCAAAGTTGAATTTATTAAGCTTTTGTGTAACAAGCAGAGGTTAATTAACAATTTTAATGCGATTACAAGACAATAAACAGAACGTAAAAATGCATTATTACTTGTACTCAAGGCCGTGCTTGTAATTAAATGCTTTTCTAAATAAAGACAATGAACTAGTTTCGATTTATTAATATTCCTATTCGAATTTTGCTCCTACGGTTTTACTAATAGGTACTAAGGCGATAAATTTATATGTTTATGTATTCGATATATTGTTAGTACCTCGGTGGATATGTTTTTTAGTTAAATATACAGAAATAAATGCTTATTGCATAATTAAAACTGGAAATAGTGTAAAAATTTTATAACCAAGTCAAATTTTATGTGTTACCAAATCATAAAAATTGTATTTTCCTACCTATGAAGATTTGGTTTCTTATTCTGTACTTCTCATACTTGTCTCAAACTTTACAACTGTAAATTTTCTTATCACGTTATTTAATTGGTCAGTCATAGTAAACAGCTTAAAAACGTATACGTAGCTTATACGTATTTGTACGTCTTACAAATACGTATTCCAATACATACTATTCGATGATTATTAAAAGATATAAAGTTTTCTGGAACAATATAAAAAGAAAAAAAAACTGATTCACAAATTATATAATACGTAAATAATATCCTCAGAATTCACTATCTCACGATAAACTAACAGTAATCATGACCCACGTAACTTTATTAGATAATCTGTGGAGGGAAACTATAAAAACAATTAACGAAAAAAACATAACCTCAAAACCATTAAAAAAAACTTGAATTTTTTAAATGTAATAAGTTAAAGTATTCGGTAACAGAGTACGGAGAATCAAATACTTTTACTTTCAATTGGCTGTATGACCATTTTGCTTTTGCCAAAATTATACTTTTTTTCGTTTATTTAAAATTAAATAAAACCTTTGAACATTGATTTCAATTATCTACTTCGTTACATCATATTCCATAAATATTATAATGTAAGGGTGAGTGACAGAGTAAGGTTAATCGCCTATATACAACTGGATCAAACATGTATAATAACTAAACTTTTAGGTTACCAAACAAAAGATAATAAAGCATAGCTAAACTTAATAATGACCAAAGTGAGCACGTTTAAATTATTTCACAACTAAACCGTGCATAAGTAAAAGTTAACGAGGCCTTGATTTTGTTACAGACACGGTCACCATATGTCCCACAAATATAGGATAATATTTTTTTAGAAATGACAAAGGTTTATGGAAAATTATGCCAAGCAATCTAAATTCAGCTCTCTAACACGCATAGTCATTAATTGATCACTAAAGGCCTTTAATGTAATGCGGTAGTATGTGTTTATTTAATTACTAATTAATTGTTTTATTCATGTCAAAGAACTTTAAATTATCTGTTTATAAACCGGACATATAGCGACCGTGATCTCGACGGAAATATCTTATAACATTGGGGCTTTACTTGTTATATTGTTGAGCGAAGTAAATGGCATTGAGACCTTTCGCCTCCAGCCACCAAGGCGGACACGGGCGTTGGCTCAACTGAAATGCCCACAGCTTCCTAACTATAATATATTTTAGTACCTTACCTTAAATGGAAAAGTGATTGTTCCGACCTTAAATAATTTAAGATTGTGAAAACTACTTTATATTGAATTATCTTTATGGATTTGTTAAACAATATTTTGTGATTCATACACATATCTTGTCTTTCCCGAGGGACACGAGAAGTAATTTGTAGTAAATAAGATCAGTAGATTTGACTATTATATATATAGTCTAAAGACTAGACTGGATATAGAACAGTCACCGGCTGATAAATCGGTTCCAATACATGTAATAAATTGCCTGTTTTACTTCTGTCATTGTTAAATAATTTCTTTTTCACAGCAAAAAGCCTCTACGTTTTTTCGTCTGGCTCCATTATTTGTTCAGTGCCATAATCTGCCTCAAAGCAATCGTTACTTTTTACTTTCTAAAAGTAATACGTAAGTTACTTCCGATCCGATTTCATGTAGCGACAATTGTACAACATTTCGACCGTCAAATTGAGCAAGAGATAGCTAAAGTTATGTAACAATAATTTCACTTGAAACGTATTTGAAAGTTTGACTTTGTAAGGTTTTTATCGTTTATTATTAAGTGTTTTAAATATTATTGTTACAATTATTTGCTGTTTCTTTAATTTAAAGATGAAAAAAAATCACTAAAAGTTTGAAGTTTTGAGGTTAGGTACAACGACTTACGAAGAACACGTAAGATTGGATGGAAGATGGAAAAACAAAAATTTCTCCATTTAGTCTACATATTTGTTTATATTACCATAAACATTATTTCAATTTGATAGACATTTTGTAATATAGGAAGTGTTGTGAGAGTTAGGGCTTACGGAGGCGTGACATTAATTTTTTTTCCTACGCAAACTCTCAATGTTTCCTTATACCGTCCCACTCATTATTATTAGGAAGAAATCGAGAACATTATTATGTTCTGATATTGTATTTATATTTATTTCTTCCTTTTTCTTTATAAATCGTCTGTCATCAATTTGCTTTTACCAAAATAGGAGTTGTATGTCTATTATTTTTTTATCTTTATTTTAGAGTTTGTGGTTTTCAAACACACGAATGTATTGTTTTATAACATGCGGTGATCAATTATTGATTGACACATTCAAATACGTTAGGACGTTAACGTGAGTTGGTGTGTTGTAACATGGGCGGCTGCGCACCACTGACCACTTACCACACGACACACTTCGCGGATTGCATTCTAATTTATATGGTGTTAAGTTACTTGCAATCATAGGAAACTGTTTCATATCAAGTACAAGTATCAATGATGTAATGTTGACTTTGTTTTAATATTACTAATATTATAAATGCGAATTTTTAAATGGATGGATGTTTGTTTGATGGTGTCTCCGGTCTCAAAGGACCTTGTTGAAATTTGGCACAAATGTAGAACATTGTGTTGAAGAACACATGGGCTACAAATTATGTTTTTTTTTAATTACGCACGGATGAAGTCGCGGGTGACTGCTAGTCATTTATAAAACTAGTTAGGGGATACTATCTAAACTAAAATATTGTGTTGATAACCTATTTAAAGTAAGCCCATAACAATACCATACCATCTGTATCAACAGAACCGTATGTAATAAATTCTTCCTTATTCCAACAGCTCTTCGTAATACTCCTATCGCTCGCGGCAGTAAGCGCCATGCCGTCGTACATAGCGGTGCCGGCAGATCAGATCGCGTTCGTAGACCTGACAGTAATGCGGGCACGACGCCTGCCCCGACAGACTCTAGAGCCTCCATTGCCTCAAGCCCTGTACCAGGAAGACTACCAGCCAATACCCGTTCAGAGATATCAACAACAACGTAAGTCTTTATAAGATTAGCACTCGAAGATTAAGGCTGACATTTCCGACTCTCTGTGCAGGGTTAAAAATAATTTTTTTTCTTTGTATTCGGCAACTTTCGGACAGGTTCAATCCAATAGCAATCCACCTTGGCCAATATAATTTACCGTTTACCAAGCATTCAAACTGCTACCACTGTCTTATGTCTTTGAGGAAAATTTACACAATTTTAATAGTACCCTACAAGAAATAATTTACTATAATTTAAAAAGAAAAGTGTTTACCAGTCCGTCCGTCAGTCCGTGATTATTCAAAGCTAAGAAAGCGAGATGAATCCATAACTGGTGCGGAGTGCAGCCTGTCTATCAAGCTCGCTTACTTTCACTTGCACAAAGGATCGCTACACTTTCTACAAACCTCTTTATATTCAATACCCATTGTGAGATTAATGTTATGCATCTTTCATCCATTGTTTGATACAATCTTCCAACGTTTGCAAACCATTCTGTACAATCTAAATAGCCAATTACGTAAATTGTTTCTGGATTGTTGTATAAAAGTATATAGACGCCTTCCGGCATAGTTTCAAAGGCTTAACAAATGACATATAATTTGCTTATTTTTGACGAATATTAAATTATTATACGAATTATTTTTCTATTGAGATTAAGGTATTTAATTTAAATTCAGAGTGTAGTTTTTTGATCGATATAAAACACGCTTCACCTTATTAAATATTAAGCAAGACTGGCCTAGAATCCGGTGTGTTGCAAGTTATAAGGTCTGGCAAGAGATCTTACCGGTTAATACGTTTCTTGAATTTGATACACCTCATTTAATATTAACTGTAATGATACTTACTTTAATACTTAGACAAATTTAAACGCAAATCCAGACATTCGTTCACTTTACTCAGACTTTATTCGAGAATCATTTCAAAATCATTCGTGTACTTGCTATTAATCGTATGAACATACGATTCGTTTTAATAGTAGTCAACATCACAAGCAGCAATTACAGTAAAGTAATGATTGATTAGCTATAAGTACTTAAGATTTTCTTTCAGACTTTTTACTAAGTCTAATAAAATTTTAATAAAAATTGCATTTACAGCAATAGGTCTTGTACCACCTCAACCTGAAGCTCCAGCAAGGCTACTCCAAATCCAGCAACAAGAAAAGGATTCAGCACCCGCGCCTATCGCCCAACCGTCACATTACGCGGAAAGGCCCCCAGATTTCGGTGAATATGTCGACTTCGGCGCCCACACTGGTGATAACGGGGCCTTCGGTTGGTATGCTGATTATCCCGTCAACAATCATGAGGAATCAGGATATGGAAAGTAAATTAGACATTGAGAGGGTAGATAAACAAAATAAGAACAAGATGGCGGATTATCACGTGGTCTAAGATTCCAATTTTTAGCTACCCTCATTTTAATTACGAAAGCACAAACTTGCCTAATTAGCCTCTAGGATTATAAAATAACTGTTGAATTATTAAGTTACCAAAGACAGTATTGTTTCAGTGATATTAGTAGAATAGAGTTAGCGAATTACCGCACATTTGTTTTAGACGGTGAATTACGCTGTTTTTTTGCACTATTTTTTTTAAATAAGTTTAAGGCCAACAACAAACCTGTTTGGATTTACAGAGGTGTTAATTTACGAATTGTTGGTTTTGTTATAGTTCCTTTTTTGTTATTTGTTAAGTTTTAAAGTACACTGTGATATGCACCATGGTAGTTATCAATTATGTATTAATCCTATTTTCATTCTTTTATTTATGTAACTTTTCCTTATTTGTGTTTTTTCAATGCTTTTATTTTCATTTCTTGTTTCTTCACCGTTCTCTATTACTCTATTTTTTAGATCTTCTTACCTTATTTTTCTTTTTTCTGTATTCTTCACCGTTCACCGCTTTTTAATTTTATCATCTTGCTTTACCACTGTTTGTATTTTTCCAAACTTCACTTATCATTAATACACTATCTTGATTATTTTTCGTTTCGTTTCATTTTGGTGATGGTATTTAATTCACGATTATGCATTTTCTATACACTATCTTCTTTGCTTTTACTGTTTGCCTATTTATATGTTTTTCTTTCACGGCTTTTCTTTTCCTTTGCAATCGTTTATTTCTTATAGTAGTTAAGAAAACCTATTTTCTTTCGTCTATTTTACTTTACTTCTAGATATCTATTTTACTTATACTATACTGATCTTATTTACATTTTATTTTATTCTTGCTAATTTTTTAATGCTGTTCTTAAGTATTCCTTTAAAAAATGCAAGACACTACATTCTTCATGATTGGACTTTCCAATTTATACTACATATATACTTTTAATACTTAAATTTCTATTTACTATGTTACTGTACTAGTTTATCACCAAACTCAAATATCTTTTTCTATATATCTTCTTACTATCTATGTTTCATTTATTTTATACACATTTTTATTTCTTTCCTTAAACAGTTTAACGCTACTGCTGTTCTTCTTTCATATCTTTCTTAATTAGCATATTCATAAATACCTTTATTATTTTTTTTAGTTCATCACCATAAATACACAACTTACTCTATGTCATTTAAAAAAATTTCTCTTACTCTCTTTTGTTTTCTCTTCTCTCTTCTTCTTATACTATTACTTCTTATTCTTAAAATACATATGTATTTATTATTTACTACCATTTATGCCGCATTTAATTCATATAAACTTCATATTCATATTTTCAAAGACTAAAAATTCTTTCTCGTCTACTTTTACTCACTATACATGATGTTCATTTTCTCTTCGTTCTCTTTTTTGTCACCTTCCTCTGTTTCAATATCATTCTTGTTCACATCATTATTTTCTATCATTTTACTTTATTCATAATACATTTTAAATGTTAGAACAAACATTTTTTAATAACTATCTTCTTATTCTTCCTTTTTTCTTTACTACGTTCTTTGATCTACCTATATATCATACTGTTTCGGATTTTCCTCACTTATTATTTAATTCTTAATAGGTCTTTGCATTGTTTTCATAAATTTTCATTTTTATGTTTTTGTATTACTCACGTTATATAAAGATAAATATTATGTACTATTTCCGACAAGTATCTTCCTTTCTCATTTTTTCATTTACTTTCTTAAGTTATTCCTTTTTCTTCTTATCTTATTATTATCTTTTTTAACTACATATCTAACTTTATCTTCATTATAATAAAAATGTATTTTAAATATTCCTAAATAATTATTTTTCTATTTATCTACAGTTCTTATAACATCTATTAATTTATAATATTATTCTTTATTTAATATTACTCAACAAAATAATTAAACTTAACAATGTAGTCTTTCCTCTTTCCACTTCTAATATTTTTATTCTTCCTTTCCATAATATCTTCTCACATTATTAAATAACGCCTGTTTATCTATTTACCATCTAAATTCATTATCTTTGTTAATCTTATTTCTTACTTCATTCACTCATTTCTCATCTTAGATATTTTATATCAGTTATTCTTATGGGCAATCATTTTATTATTACTTGTAGAAATCAGCCACAATATTAATTTCTTCTATTATTTCATTATGACCTACCTCTTTAATGATTTTTATATCTCGCACACGTTACAATTTTATTTTTTATAACGTAAATAACATTTTTCTTGATAATTTAGCATTCTCATCAACTTTTACTTACGGCCATATTTTCTATTATATTTACATATTCTATCATGTTTTATCCTATCATATTTATCATTTTCTTTTACTATTATTTTATTGTATTTTTCTTTATCTTTTTGCACTTACGTCACTGACTTTTCTCTGATAAACATATATACTTCTTGACTATGTCTTTACATTTATGTAACAAAAAACTATTTCGATTTAAAGTCGCAAAAAAATAATCGCTTTCACTTGTTTCCTTTATATATTTTTTTCTTTTTATATCTCTTTAACATTTTCTTCTACTCTTTTTTCTATCTTTCTTATACTTTATTCCTTTGCTTTAAAACCTTTCTTGCTTTTATCTTTTTCTGCATTTAATTACTTTAATATTACTATTTCTTACATTACATATTCTTCAAATACTATCCCAAGTATATAAGAATCATTTGTCATTTATTTCTCACTTAAAATCATTTAAATGTCATTTCCTTTTTAATTTCTTTATCTTCCATTATTATATTCTTCTTCTTATTCTTCAGTTTGTTACTTCTTCTGTCTTGACTATATTTTAAACTTTTGTCTTTTTACTTTTTTTTAATTTATACCATATTGCATTGTTTTTTAATTTAATTTTATCATATCTTTACCTTATTTATCCTATTATTTTTTTCTTTTATTCTTTTTGCTTTTCTATCCTTTCTGCTTTTTCTATTACTTCCTTTGCTCTTTTCTCTATGCTCCTTTCTTCCTTCTTCTTTCTCTATTAATAACTTGTAAAATTTGTGGAAGTATTAAGTATTTTTGTTGCATAGCTTTATATAATAATTACTTAAAAGTAAGTGAAAATTTTCTAAAAGCTCCAGATTGTATATAAAATCTAAGATGCTTTAAGTTTGTGCTTAAAAAGCTACTGCAGTGTTAATGATGGACAAGTGGTCAAAGTTTGAATTTATCTTTCAGACTTCTCTTTTATCTTTTAGTTTATGAGTTTTCTCTTCCACTTATTTATCTTATTTATATCATTAACTATTTCTTTACATTTAACTTTCTTTATTTAAAGTTCTACATTTTAAATACAAAGTAGTCATAATTCTTTTTTCATCTATTCAATAATATTGAGTAATTTATAATTTCACATAAGCATTTTTTTCTACTTCTTTCACTTTTTTTTTCATTCACTTCGTACAAACACGTATTTTTTACATCTGTAAAATATTTACCTTTTTTATCCATTATTTATTTGTGTATTTTTAAAGTTAATTTGCTTGTTACTTTTTAATATAACATTTTTATTCACTTAACTTCTAATATTCTTTACTTTCTCTATATCTTTTAAATTATTTAATTTTATCAAAAAAGTTGACCTAATAAAATATCGTTATTTATTTTCTATATAAAACTACCTGGTGCTTTTAAAACATACGAATACTATTTTTTGTTACGTTTTTGTTATTAAAAAATCGTTAACTAATATTTGTGTATTTTTTCTACACCCTTTATGTCACCTTGTAAAAAGTTTTAACAGACGTGCCAAAGTGAAATTGACACAACCAAACCAATTATTAAAAAAAATCGAATACCATTAAAAGATAATTAAAAGCATATTGATTTTTTAATTTTTATTTTTATACAGTTAACATACAGCTTCATACAATGATATTTAAAATAGATTTTCTTTCGACCACAACAAGAATGTCATAGTCTCAGTATATTGATCATAATAGCATATATAAATACATAATGTACAGTATTTCACATCTATAAGTATTACTCAAAATTTTACAATTTTTTCGATAATATGAAGAACATATAGCAACATTAGATACCATATATTAAAAATAATTTTTACTACAGACAATAAAATTTCTAACATGAATTATAAAAAGCGTTATGTGCTTTTGATCGATAAAGAGCCAGATCATTTGGCACATTACGATGAACACTAATTTTAATTTATAGGCCATTTAGAAAGTTCCAAAAAGAAAAGAAAAAAATAACACATCAACTTTACGAAATTCTTATATAATTACAGTTACAAGATAAACATTTTGTTTTCTAGGTTATAATTTTATACGGCAAATATACATTTCATACTATAGGCGTTTATTTCAGGACCATAGATAATTTATTGTTGTTAGTTTATGGTAAATGTCTGCATACAATGAAAAAAAAACAAAAAATCTCAATCAGCTGTAAATTAAACATAGATTAAATTAAAAAAAATCAAACGTCTTATAAACTTATAGATATAAATTTGAGATCATAAAAATAACATCGCAATTCCTTAAAAATATACAATACACATGCAAAATAGACGGAAAGTGGAGAGGTAATAGTAAATTTGGTTATAAAAAAAATTGATGTTAAAAATATATTTTGTGCTTTACTATTACTAAACTCTAAAAAAAATTACATGTGCTTGCTTTCAATTCCTCTTTAACTATCATCACGACTTAAAAATCCTTTTTTTTTTAAATTAAGGAATACATACGAAGTTACTTGCTCTGTGCATTAGTTTACTACACCTTATTATAATCAAGTACCTCATAAAAGATGAATAAAAAATAAGAGTGACTATATGGATCGAGATGTTTAGTTGCATTACTACTACCTAGTACTAACACAATGGAGAGGCTGCTTAGACCTTTTTTGTCTTTTTTTTAAATATCTACCACACTTTGACACTTGCTGGCCAGTGTCAGTCAACTAAAATTTTCCTAACGTTTTTTTTTTTAATTTATTACAAGGTACTTGAATACAATTGACCTACTTTAGAAAGTACACGCATATCCTAATAAGACACTGACCCCAACTCACATCTTACTATTTTATGAATAAATAAAAAAAATTAGGTAGCTAAATAATTATTAAAATATTATAAAGAAAAAGAAAAAAATATCTTTGGTTTTATATTCTGAATTATGTCTACCGTATATGATAGAAATGCCTTACTTTGAGACCCTTGATTAAAATAGTTTAAAGGTCATAAAGAAATTACTATATATTATTTACATAATAACATTATATAGAAGTTACATATCTTTGGTTGGAAAGCTAGTTTAAAAATTTATCTCAATTTTTTTATTTAGAACATCCTCTAATATCGACAGATATCTAACAATAAAACACTATTCAAACATTAAATCTAAATTACAATAAGCTATATGATATGCTTTTATATATTTTCACTCAGAAAAAGACACAGATTAAAAAAACTAAACATTTTAAAGGAAGCATGGAATCAACGATTTTTTTTTAATAATTTATGGTACGAAAATATAGGTTATAATTCCAGTACCATTAAAAACCACCAAAATATATATCAAATTTACAATATTATGAAGGCATAATTAATAATTTTAAACAGTAGTCCACGTCTAACAAATATTTTTGATCATTAAAAGAAATTGTGTCATAAAAAAACACGTTCAAAAATTTAAAAAAAAATTAAGAAAAAAATCTAATGGAGCACCATATTTTAGAAGAGTCTGAGCAATAACTTTTGAAAAACATGCAACATATCTACATAAATATATACTAATTACTACACAATTAAGTACTAAGCCGCTATTATTCGAGGTACATCTTCACAAAAATACATCTATCTCTTTCATTCTCCATTAACCTTTATATTATAAGCGAATATGAAGGAAAGAGAAGGTTTAGTACAGAAATTTCGCTGAGGCATATATTTATACACATATCCTATGCATATAACTAGCCCGTTAATTTTGTTACTTTAAGTTTTCACTGTAAGAACACATGTATAAAACATATTGCCATCTCTTTCATTCTCATAGAAAAAGAAAGAGAAAACAATATATTTTGTACAGGTAATAATAACTTGGTATCAAAGTGAACACACATTTTTATATTCTATGTAAACATGTAAAGAACGAGAAAATTTCTAAACTAATTTATTTAAGAGATTTTTTTTTATTTTTACATAGATATAAGATTACATATATTTTGACCTATAAACGAGTTCATACATACATTATATAAATACATACAGAATCATTAGGCTACTTCATTATATGTATTTTTATGTCATACTAGCTGTCGCCCGCGACTCCGTCTGCGCGGAATTATAAACAAACACAATTAGTAGCCTATGTGTTGTTCCAAACTATGTTCTATAATGCCATTCAACGAGATCTGTTCAGCCGTTCCGGAGCTACCTTCAAACATCCATCCATCCAAACATTCGCATTTATAATATTAAAAAAAAATTCAGCTATCAGAGCTTTTAAAGAACATAAATACATTAAAATCTATATTTAATTTTTAGATTTATCATAGCTTTTTTCTTTCATTTACATATTATTACAGTTTAATTATGTGTATTCAAGTTTCTGGTCAACTAAAGACAAGACGTAATTTTTATTGTAAAAGCTAGTCTCAAAAATATGTCTTCCATGTTATGATTCCCATACAAATTATAACAGAGGTATTTAATTCAATTCTCTCAATTTATTAGGAAATACTGTAAATTAAGTTGCAACTACACAATGTATATAGAAACACGTTTAATAAAAACCATCAAGAAAAAAGTGAAAAAACATTATAAAAATAAAATGTACATTATGAAGATTCCAATTTAATTTTACGTCGTATATTCAATTCCTTGTCATTTTGTTGAACAAATCTGTCAGTGAAATTATTAAGCGCGTTTAAAGTTGACTAATGACAGAAATGGTCCTTCGAGTCGGATTCATAAAATACATTCACAAATCCAAGTATCCAGAAATATACATACAACTATTATACAAAAAAAATCGGGGCAGTATCTAAATGAAAACCTCGTTTTTAGGGTTCCGTACTTCATAAGAAAAAAACGGAACCCTTATAGGATCAATTTGTTGTCCGTCCGTGTGTATGTTTTACCCTTTTTTTATTTAACTTGTGGGTAACTAAAACAACTTACAATACATTGACACATGTCTTCATTTTTTAAAGAGAGTGAAAAAGACAACAATATGTAATAACACTCTAGTTATCTCACCGTTTAGTTTGAGTTAGCCCATGCCATGACAACTTTAGAGAAGGGTACGAAGATGGCGGTGTAGTGAGGTGGGGCGAGGAAGTAGCGACGACCGCGGTAGGTGCCGTCGTTGGGTGGTAGGCCGGGGTACTGGGCCTGTGCGAACTCCGCGCCGACCACTACCCCACTATTGGCAGCACTACCTCCGGCTATACCCACGTATCTAATCAAATAATAACTAGATAATAACTTGACTTGCAATCTGTAGGTCCTGGGTTCGAATGCCATGTACCAATGTGTTTTTCGATTTACATATGTACATTTATTCGACGTTCTTACGGTGTAGGAAAACATCGTAATGCAACCTGCCCATATCTGAGAAGAAATTCAATGTTATGTGTGAAGTCAACCCGCACTGGGCCTGCGTGGTTGACTATGACCTAGTCGCCCGTGACTTTGGGTAGGCTCCGAGCTCCGAGTGGGGATGTATAGTGAGCTGATGATGATTATAGATTTACGTATGCCGTATGTGCCGTATAAACGATAATATTTACACGTAGCCATTACCTTTATTAGATGTCGGCCTTATTTTTTGTATAAATGAACTGATCTCTATAAATAGATAGGCAATTGCTTCGGAATGACAGCTTTTGCTTCGTTCAGATTTAAGGCGCCTGTTGATGTTACGTTAAATCTTATTGGATGCAGCACACGCTCGTTACCATCAGCGCCAAAATCGCGTAAATCCAATAGGCACAAAATATTATGTCTCATAGCCAGTTCATTTAAAGAAGTCAGTGTATAAATGTCATAAGTGAAACTTTTTGATATTCAGGACACAAATTTCAGTCTTTTTATAAAGTTATGTCTTTTATAGATATGTGGTAACAATCATCCATACATCCATCCAACCTTGGCATTTGTAATATTAGTAAAATATGTATATAGAGGATATATTACCTGACCCTGCCGACAGCGAGGCGACCCTGCGGCGTGATGAGTTTGACGGCGTGTCCCAGCCGCAGCTGACGCGCCTCGCCCGGCACGTACGGCTGTCCCTGCCCAGTGTGGATACACTCCGCTACATGTACATACATCCATACATTATACACAAAATACTAAAAAGGATTATACATTTTTTAATATCAAAAAATATTTTAAAGAAAATCTTGAAAAAAAATAAAAAACTCTTGAATGATTATTTGGCTTTCTTTTAAATTAAAAATGAAATCAAAAATAATTCGATTATAATGACTGGATATCATTAGTTACCACCGCCTAAAAGTCATAAAAGATTGTCATTCCAGTTTTTTCAGGTCCAGAATGATATTTTAATGTAAATGTTTAGATTCGACAATTGAAATTCGTAATATTACTAACGTTCGTCAGCAGCGGCGGTGATATTGTCGATGGAGCGTCTCAGGAATGTCTCCGCCTCCTGCAGCAGCTCATCCGTGTCGTCGTTCCTCACGTCCGGCAGTGAGCCGCGCCACGGACGATATTCACCTAATCACGTTACAAATAAAACTGTGACGTATAATGCTGATTTATACATATTAATAAAATTGGCGTGTCTGTATGTAATATCAAAAAAAAATATTTTCGCAAACATGATGTATTTGCGTAGTAACAATGAAAAACCACTTTTTAATTTTTGTCTGTCTGTCTGTCTGTATGTCTGTCCGCAAGGCCGCGTTTGTTCCGAATAATCTCCGGAACGGGTGGACTGATTTTGACAGGTCTTGGACGGGAAAACAGCTGATACGCGCGAGCATAATATAGGTTACTTTTTTCGGAGACGTTGGTAACGATGATCGAATAGCTTCAGACCCGACGACTTCTTCATAGTGAATTAAGCCTTAGTTAGCCTAATTAGTGAATCAGACATTGTAGTGTATAGTGTTGTTTGTCTTGAGCGTATACGTCATGAGGTGCGTCAGTCGATGTCAGACCTTTGGACCGGTAGCACGTGTCGGGACGTGAACGAGCCAAATATAACGCAACGATTGCTAAAGATATAATTTACCTTTGACAGTACTAGTATATTTGGAAGTCCACTCGTTACTGCGGTCTATACTAGGACACGGCGAGCGATACGATGAGCCCCGATGTCTGTGGAGATAACATTACACTACTACAGAATTTAGTATAGCTTGCAATTGTTAAGCTATAAGTCTACATAAAGATATATAAAAGCTGCTTCGTCCTTTGTACAAACCTTGGCTGTGGCGAGTCCGGTGCAGTGCGACGTAGATTCCAAAGAGGTTCCGCAGATCGCGATAATTCGGGCACCATTGATGTAAATCCTACAAATAATAAAGAAATTAAACAAAAAGTATAATCTCTGTCTACCCTCTTCGTTGTAAACTTACCAATGTCGCTGAGAAGTACGCGTCGCGCGTCGTCACTGCGGTCAGTACGACGCGCGGGGGGCGGGGCACGCGTGCCGGGCGGGGCGGGGCGGCGTGACGTCACGCGCTGCGGCACCGTTGTCGGACAACTTACCACGCGAGATGAATTCTGTCATACAAATCGACATCTTTTCACATCGATTCCTTTTCTTACTCGGGTTGTTATAGTCATGAGTAACTCATGAGTAACTCAACTAATTGATGACCTGCAGATCAGTTCACAGTTTGTATGTGTAGCAGATCAGTAAACCGGATTGCAGACCAGTTCATTTTGTACCTCTATAAAGTTATGATTGGTCACTCTGCGACTCGCCAGCTGACTCGAGGCTCGTCGGCGTTGAGTCAAGTGTTGACGATTTAGTTTTCAAGCACGAATGTGACAAACCTTTAAATCGGTTCATAGCTGATCTATACACGTCTAGTCGAGAATATAAACAGCTTAAGTTTTTAAGCTTGTAGTAGGAATAGGTTTATGACTAAACAATATATGAGCTACATGGTCTCCTTACCTTATAGGCTAGATATCCATCTGATGTCCACCTGGGCGGGAGCGCGGACATGTCTGTCTGAGCCGCGCTCTCCCGCCGCGGGCCGCAGCTCTCACGCAGTACAGGACGACGAGATGATGTCAAAGGCTTGCCGCCGCGCACTATACCACGGTACGGTAGTGGTCTAGGAAGATCAAGATACAATTGTTCCAAATAAAAATCTCAAATTTTTAAACAAAAATTTCATAATTTTTATCGATTTCATTACAGTATTATTATTAATTCCCGCTCATATGCTTCTTTTTTAGAGAAAAAAAAACTAAACTTTTCTTGTAAAAATGTCTACAAATCTAAATACGAATTCTTATGTTAATGGGCGGTAGTTACAAAGACAAATAATTTTACGTACTTATAAATTAAAAAAATATACCTGTATTGAAATGGATTGGGACACGTATTCCTGCGTATATTAAAATTGCTCGCAAGATCGTCTTCTGATATCCCACATTTGGATATATCGGTTTCCGCGAACATCGAAAATCGATGTCCAAATCGTCCAGTCTTATGAAAGCTATCCACACTTTCCTCTCTATGAAGGATATCCATACTGGATCCTAATTCAAAACTCGATGACTTAGTATTATCAAAACTCAAACCCCTATTGTATTCACAAGTCAGACTATCAACACTGTCTAATCTCCTAGTACTTGCATTAGGGCTTCGTCTATACAACATGTTGTCAGACTTATTATCGCAAATCTTCAGTATGCCTCGACCAGGCAGATCCAAACTGCCTTTACCATTAAAGGCAACATGCTTGATTTCTTTATCATTGGGTAGAGACACTCTTTTCTGTTTCAATGAATCTCCAATGTTTCCCTCATGATTGCCCTCTCTTTCAACGTTTTCTGGCCTATCGCCAGGTTGGAAGTCCGGGTCGAGGGTGTGGAATTTGATTAGCACAGGAGTAGAGTGAACAGTAGATGCCGAATTTGGTACCCAATGCTCAGTTTCGCGTATCGAAACTAAGTCTTCCTGCAAATACAGAAGAAAACAACTGAATAAGTCACTAAGCTGGCACTAGCAATTGGTCAGTGAAGTTTAAAACGCGTGTACAAAAACTTGATATCTGTGTTAAATTATTAAACACTACAAAAATAAATTTTCTTTAGTATTTCACCTGCAAATTACTGATATCTTTGGACTCATCTGTCGTGAATATGAGTTCTATATCATCAACCTCTTCTGACTCGTTTCCACTAGCGTCCTCCCTGTCGTCAGGGGGTCGCGGTTCCATTGGCGTAGTACCACCCTCAGAGAACACAGAGTTATCACCCTCTGACAAAGATCTGGAAGGAAGTGTGTTTTAATAACACAAAGCTCTAGACGTAAAATAAAAAAAAAATCATCATCAACCTGCCCTTATCCCTATCGAGGGTCGGCACAGCATGTACTACTCCTCCATACATCTCTATCAGCCGTCATATCCGAGTCTACCCCCTTCTTACGCATATACTCTTTCACACAGTCATTCCATACTTTAAATAAAAAAAAATTAAAAAAGTAAATAGTTATTACAATTACTATGCCTCTATGGTCCTGATCGAGAAGTATAGACAATTGAACTTTTGTGGATTCATTTTGAATAATAAAATAATATCAAATAATTAAAAACAAAAAATAGTATGCTTGCAAGCTTGGAATAACATATAGGCTACTTATAAAGGTTTTTTTTAAATTCTGACAGAGTCACGGGCAAAAGCTATTATACATATATTTATTAAGACATTTACCTAAGACTCAAATCATCAACATCCAAATTAAGTGTATCCTTCCTTCTAAATCGCTCAGTACTTTCTTTAACTACCAAATTCTCTTCAGATGTTATCCTCACTTGTACATCAAATTTATCAACCTTTGACTTAACTTCAGCTTCATTAGGTACAGCCATTTTGATATTTTCTTTAGATACTGTTTTGAAATTTATTTCATTCCCATCCAAGTCTATGTAATTATCAAAATGTTCCTTTGTTTCTTTAAATTGGAAATTTGCTGATCCTTGTGTTTCTTTTCTAGAAAAATTATCTTCCTTCTTTTGATTCTCAGTAGAATCAGTTTCTGATGTAGTAGCAGAAATTATATTACCTTCTTTTAATGTTGTAACTTTAATTTTGACATCAAATTTTGATAATAATTCCAATTTAGTTTTATAACTTGGTTGACCTTTATCTTCAGTTACTGTAATCTGACTCTTAGGTTCTTCAGATATATCTGACTGAGGTCTTGGAGATTCTACGTCAGTTGTACTTGATTTAGAGTTCTCCTCTTGGATATTTTCAAGCTTTTCTGTTGGTGAATATGTATTTAATTCTACAGCTGCTTCTTCTTCTGTGATATATTTATTTTTGCTATCAGGAGTTAAATTTTCAGATATAACTTGACTATTTAAAGATTCCTCAACATTACTTGTTGGACTATATGTACCATTTAGTTTTATATTTTCCGAAGCTTCTCTATCATCCAATCCTGAGTCAACAATTTTTCTTCGTAAAATATGATTTTCCACAGTCAATTTTTCTATAACATCAGCATACTCTAGACAATGAGAATGTTGCTCATATTTTTCTTTTAATTCTTTCAATTCATTCTTTGATATCTCTAAAGCAGTCCTCAAAGACACAACAGTTTGATGCAAAGACCTCACTGTATCTAAATGCGCAGCCCCTTGTGGGACCGACTGCAGCCTGCCACTGGCCATTCCACCATATAATCAGTCCTTAGGCCAATATCCAACATCCCATACATGACTACAGATATTTTAATTACACTTTAATTGACAATTACAACGCTTTCCATCGCAATTAAAACATTATCTCGAATAAACAATCCAAGTTATTCTAGACATTAGTGCCAGAAGTTATAGAAAAATCAAAACACACACATTTTTTCCACTGATTGATAAACCTTTAGACACACGGTCACGCATTTTACAATCTTTATCGCGTCTTAGATGAGAAACTTAACGGCGTATCAGACCCGGAGAGTGCGCAATCGATAAAACACCCGGCGTAAAGAGGGTCGTTAAATTAAGACCCTCAAAGTTTTCTGGGAAAGCTTTCAGCTGGTACGAACCACTGATAAATACCAACACGAAAGCCAACAATTAACTCAAAGTATTATCTCCAGATCGTTTTGACAAGGCTGTTAGACTTAGCTATAGATAGATGTTCTAAAAACTTCCCCTATTTCTCCTTGTAAACAAATCAATACTTGAATTCCGAGTCAGCTTCGCGGGTGGTTGACAGATAAGGAGTTCCGATGTTGTTTTCTCTCTTTTATAAAAATCTGTCAAAAAGAAACACATTGCTATAATTTCCTCCATTTCCCTCAAATAAAATGTTAATATTACATATTACTAGATCTGACTAGTTATTAGTAAATTTACTGTTACTTGGTTTCTGAAATGATTATATTAATGTAATCTTTAAATTTGCTTAAGAATTCACTTTTATTCTGCATGTAACTAAACGTTTTGATGTTTAATTGAGAAATGTCAAAGTCATATGTTTCTAACCTCAAAAAATTCATTGGATACAAAAATAATAACAGTGTTTTTCCGAACTAAATAAATGTGTAAATTTTATCATGTTAAACATACTTAAAATAAATTTATCTTCTAGATCTTTTTTCATTCTACAAACTCGATTCAAAACAAAGACACATTGGGTAATATCATTTTATTTCATTTAGAATCTTATAATGTTACTGTGTTCTGAAAGTTTATGTTTATAGGCAAAACTAAAAAAGAAGGCCGGACCTAAACACAAGGCATTAAATCATTTTGACGATTTCTACGGTTCCGTTTTTGGTGAACAATGGCCGCCAATGAAAGAAGCTTTACTTCGCCGATCTAAATACGTCGCTGTTATAAATAATTACGGAGATGCAGAAGAAACTATGAAATATCTTTCTAATAGAGGTAATAAATAACATACTAACACCAAGATTTTCCACTCTTGATTAATATATTAACTAAACTATTCAAACGAACCGATATAAGTTTAAGATTATTTTTTACAGGTGCACATTGTCTTAAAGATTTAATGAAAATCCAACAAGCTTTTTCCAATGAATACACACCTACAGAAACCGACTCTGATACACAGCCAAAGTCACACACAAACATTATAGACAATTATATTTCTAAACTTCAGAGTGATGAAGTTTCAGAAGTTTACCCCAAGAGTGATAATGTACCAGAAAAAATTGATTTAAACGATAATTTTGTTAAAACAGATAATAAAAAAGTTGATGAAATGTGAGTACAAATTCTCTGCTTTAAATTATTTTTATTTATGTTGAAAAAGTATGAATAAACCAATTTAATTGTTTCAGAGTAAGTGTTAATAGAACCTTAGATCAAGCAATAGATGATGCAGAAATAGACCAGTCTAGAATAATTGAGCCATCTATGGGGATCAATTCTGAAGTTTTGTACCAATATATACCAGCAACTAAACTCAAAGGTTTAGAAGAATGGGTGCCTGAGTCTCTTCATTATTCTTACTATAATAGCAGTAAGTAAAATTTATTACCACAAAAAACATTATTCATCATCAACGGCTCACTATATGTCCTCACTGTGGGGCTTGGAGCCTACTCTAAGTCATAAGTGATTAGGCCATACTCAACTTTATTAGTTTTAAAAAATATTTAGACTTGTGTGGTACAAAGGATCTTGTTTTAGGAGTTAGATTAGGTTTTTTACTAATATCAGTTTTCCTCACCTTAATTTGTAAATGTGACAAAAATTATATGTTTTTGAACATAATATGACTAGAACAAGAATTGATTTACTTTTAGGCTAAATAATTGAATCTAGAACCTAGAATCCTTTAATAACTGCATATTGTAATTATATAAACATTGTGATATTTACAGAAGACAAAGACTTCCCGTTAATAGTTGAGCCAGAAACGGAATTCACTTTTCCGGAACATTTGAAAGTGTACACATATGAAATGAACAGTGACTGGAGCATGTTTCCTGAACCAAAGAGATGTCAGACAGGTAATGTACACACCTAATAACACTTGTAACCAAAAGAGGTAGGCAGAAATTACAAAAGATTTGATACAATTTTAGCAGATCTCTTTGGTTTTACATACATCTATACCTGCTTGGGTATGCTTTACAATATGGAATGCTTTTAGTATTTTTTATTTATTTAATATGTTATATATAATTTTTTAAACATATATAAACTGATGACAAGTTATTTGACATTTGTTTTATTAAAGTTGTAATTTTAACAATTTATAATTCTTTTAGGTGTGTTTAACTATTATCCAATGGATTGTAGCAGTGTACTCGCAGTTCTAGCTCTCTGTCTTTCACCAGGTGATAGATTGCTAGACTTGTGTTCAGCACCGGGGGGCAAAGCCCTAGTTGCATTGCAGACATTGCTACCTGATATAGTTGTTTGTAATGATGTGTCTATATCTAGGTCAAACAGGTAAGAGAATATTGTTATTCATATTCATGTATTAAACAGCATTTGGGAAAACTAATAAAAATCTATCCTTGACTTATTATTGAATAATTCTATCTTAGTGTTGCCATTTAAAGATATAATATAATGGTAATAAAAGAAACAAATAACTAAATATTGAATTATTTATTTATTTTATTCACTTTTTATACTATTTATGTATTTTTAGGACTGAAAGGATATTCCGTGATTACTTGTTGGACTTCGGGGATAACAAATGGCGGGAAAGAGTGCTCCTTTCCCGCGTTGACGGACGTATTTTTACTGATGATCAAGGATTCGATAAGGTAATATCAACAAATTATAAATATTTTGCCTAAAATTTATAAAAAAAAATATGATAAAAAAGACAAATGTTGATTAGTTAGTTATTGAAAAGGCAAATGATGATGAAAAAATTAATCGATTTTTTAAATGGCAATATAGAATTAAAATTGTACAATGTTGCTAACCTCTTAATTATTTTAATTCTACATAAAATTATTTTATCTATTGAAAATTAGTTGTTTCTATTAGTTGAAGTTATTTAATTAGAGAATTATATTAAATAAATTAATCTATTAAATATCTAGGTACTTGTAGATGTGCCGTGTACTACAGACAGACATTCAGTGAATGAGGATGAGAACAACATATTCAGGCCGGATCGAGTCAAGGAGAGATTGAGGATACCAGAGCTGCAGACACAGTTATTAGTGTGAGTTTTAATACTAAGATTTAGAGGTTCCTAAACTTTGAACGATTTAAATGTTAATCGGTCAAAAGTTTTATGGGACGATGTGGAACTTGTTAGTTAGTTATAAGGACTCGATTTCCGCATTTCCACGACTGGCGCGTATTTTGTATGTGAGCGGGATCCGGATTAACTTCAGCCTGTCCAACTCTCCAATGAATCCAAACAACCCCTTGATGTTGTCTGTCACCTCCGGGAGTGTTCTCGAGGTACCGAGATGTTTTACCCTGTAACAGGGTTGAACTATGGAATTGTTGGATTATTGGGTATAGTCTAAGTCCGGATATTTTAACATGTCGGATTACAAGTAGGATTAGCAAGGGATTACCGCAGGTCCACTGTAATTTATTAAAGTTTAAGCGTGAATTTTACGTTTTTTAATTTGTGTGTAGGAATGCTTTAAAGCTGGTGAAGGTAGGCGGGGCGGTGGTGTACTCTACGTGCTCTCTGAGCCCGGTGCAGAACGATGGCGTGTTGCACACCGCGCTCAGGCACGCATTCGAAACCCATCAAATCGTCGCTGCTGTTAGGTATGTCTGGATCTTAGAAACTAGTAATTTAAAGAAGAACATAATATTAAAAAAAAATATTTCTTAAAACCAATTGCTGCTGTTAGCAATTTATAAGAATTTAGTTAATATTTTGAATTCAATTTTTACAATGAAAAATCCAGGTCACAAATGGCGGGACACATGTTATTGTACTCTTCAACAATATACAAAGTAGAATATAGAACACTATGTTAAAGCCAAGATGGCCACCACCTGTAAGCTAAAGATTTACCGAAATAACATATTCCAGAGATCTATCATCATCACTGCGCAGTCTGAGCAGCACGTTGCAGCTGGGCAGTGGACCTGCGAAGCCTCGCTTTGGGCAGCTGGTGGTGCCATCAACCGCTGCTAACTTTGGACCCGCATACATCGCTAGACTCGTAAGAGTTAAGTAACGCTAAGTAGCATTTAAGTATTATTAAAATTAAATATTTATATGTATTTGTTTTTTTTTCTCCGTCATACTATTTACGAATATTCAGTGGAAAAAAGAGTATGTATTTTTTTTTAATTTCACTTTTGTGGGTTTTGCTACTCTTTGTTTGCGCTGACAAAGTCACGGGCTACGGCTAGTATTTAATATAAACTACAGGACTATTTTCCTTTATTTATTTTTAAAATAATACATAAGTACATGGTTAATAAAGTGCTCGTCTTTGGTAAGCGAAGTCTCAAAAAATAGTCTTTGAATACAAAAATATATAAAAAGTCATTTAAAGCCTGTATATTGCTTTATTTCTAGACACAATGTTATGTCAAAAAGTATTCGATTTAAAGTAATATACATAGGAAATATTACAGTACGTGCAATTTGAAATGTCATATAATTAAAAAAATATTAAAAACAAAATTAAAAAGTATTAACATGGTACATAGGTGTCGAGGCGTCGTAAAGCGGTGACAGTGTGATGCTTATATAAAATAAATATAAACCAACTTGGATAAACGAGAGTCTAAAGAACTGTGGTATTTTTCTCGTTTATAGGTTTCTCTCTAACCCGATTTTTTTTTGCTTGTTGAGGTCGCGAATCACTTATCCAAATTGGACTGTATTTCATATTTAAAAGTAAAAAAAAATATGTAATAATACTTATTATGATATGGCAGATTCGATTAGAAAAAATTGTTATGAATTTTGATTTTAATATTTATTTTTAAAAAAAAACAACTATAAAACTAAGTACCTACTCTAATTATTTTACTATGCTAATGTCAGTTCAAATCAGATCAATATAAAAAACCTAAATAATAGTCGAAAACCTAAAAGTACATTTGCCATGTTACAGAATAGCTTTTAAAAACATATTTATTATCTAAATTTATAAAAAAAAATATAGTCAAAAAATACTTAAATGCAAGTTTAATACATAAGTACACAAAATTACTAAATAAGCGATTTTGATAGTCATAATTTTTAATTCTATCTTAACTTCGTACACTTTGTTTCCTTGGCCGTTTTTATTACTGACAGATTTATAGCCTGAACAGAAATGTAAATACCATCGTCAAGTTACAGTAAAATATGGATATAATTTATTTGCTTATATTATTAAGTTATGTAATAAAAAGCTTTTAGCGCCCACAAATCAGGATTTTTATTATTCTTGGTCAGACCATAGACATATCAATATATATATATATATATAATATATATATATATATATATATATATAATATATTATATATATATATATATATATATATATATGTTAGTATTTTTGCGTTTCTACAATGGAAAACCGCTGTAATAATTATAAAAAAACCTTTTTATATTTGGATTAAATATCAGTAAGTTTTCCATAAACAACTTTTCCACTTTTAAATTCATCCATCACTTTTCTTTGAAAGTTTAAACATGCGTTTTTTCAGTTTCCGTATTCAAAGGTCTCTTGGCTCCCTCTTCGTCTTGATTCTCAGGCGGATTGTTCCAGGGCTGCTGCTCTCCAGACCCGAACAATGTGTATACGATTATTTCTATTATGTACAACCCTATTGTTACGAAGAAAATGATACGCCACGCTGATATGGTTTGCTGGAAACAAAATATTACTTATTTTAAAGAAATATTTGATTGTTTGTTTGTGTGCATAAATTGATTTGAAAAATTATTTCACTGTTGGGAAGCTACATCCTTGAGTGACATAACCTATATTTATTAATAGATATTTTTAATTCCGCGCAAAGTCGCGGGCAACTACTAGTTCTTATATAAATATAAGTTGCATCTCTCGCATTCTGTATTCTTCAATTTTATTAATAATCTTATTCACTTACGTTTCCATGTGTCAATACTCCAACGAAAATAGGTACAACGATACCGGGAATTGTTGCTACCGTATTCGTCAAAGCCATGAGGGTACCTGAAAATATTTTAAACATAAATATCCTGCTCGAAGGACCTTTTTATTCGTTCTTTTCATTGGCTGATGAAAGTGCCTTTCAGTTTTATAAGCATTTTAAAATAGCTACTTACCAGCGAAGTTTGGTGCTATATCGATGTGGTTGGAGAGGAATCCACAGAACATGCCTCCGATACAGGTGACGCCGATCGCAGTGAGCGCCACAGCAACACCCCGCGCGCATCCCACGTAGCACAGAGCCAGCAGGCACGCCGCCGGCACAACGGATGCTAGAATTTTTATTATCATTAGAAGGCAAACGTACATTTCATAGAACCAAGGAAGCGTTAGTATGTTGGCTTCCATAATAATTATAAATAAACTATGGTGAATTTATTATATCACTATACCCACCGTTTAGTCAGGTTAAAAAGTTTTAGTTAATTTTTACTATATAAACTTACCGAATAAGGTGCCAATCTTCCTAGCAGTGGTGGTAGTGATGATGTTCTTGCCGCGCAGCCAGTCCAGTGTGCGGCTCAGCGCTATACTGAAGATCCACAGCGACAGGAATGGTAGGGAAGTGGTTACTGCATTCTATCAACAATATTAACAACGGTCAGAATACAAATACTGGGGTAAATAAAACAGTAACGGTCTCCTAAAATGAATTACAAAAATATTAGTTCTTTTATTCACCTAAATAAGTCCAAAGGAAAACGAAACATCGACCCAGTTTATCATAATTTACCGTGGGTTTCTGATACCAAAATTCCCGTTTAAAACATATTTTTATATTTTTTTGTCAAAGATGAAAGACAGGTATGACGAAAACAAATGTTTTATACAGAGATTTTAGTCAGAATGCTACGATTAGTGTATAAATTTTACTACCTCAGTCATGTTGAACTTGAGGACCTGCTTCATGTAGAAAGGCAATTCGATGAGCAACATATACCAGCCCCAGTTGGAGCACGCGTGCGCCACCAGGATGGCCAGGAATGCGTGTGACGTCAGCACCGCACGCCATGGCACCGGTAACTTCTAGAAGAATCAAGGACACAAGGAGATAACATCAATTTAATTCTACTTTCACCGATATTGATTTGCTGATCAATATCGGTCAAGCTTTCAATGTTTCTTACAATTACCTTATGCGGTGTATGATCATTCGTCTTCCCTCCCAGTGAGGTGACGATCATCTCCCGTTCCTCGGTGCTGATGAGCGGCTGCTGCTGCGGCGTGTCCTGCACCAGAGCAACCCACAGCACGCACCATAGGCATGACAGACCTCCCATCACGTAGAACACGCTTTCCCAACCTATGTAAGGTGACGAATTAGTGTCATTCAATTCGTTCAATCATTCAAATGTTAACTGAATGAAATGAAAACTTAACTAAGGGATACTAGATCTAGATTATACATCAAAGTTCAAGTGGATTAAAGAAACTTTGACCAGATCATTCTTTTGTACTCTTGTAGGTTTATTTTGCTTTGTTAAATGCGGTCTTTCGAGAAACTTCTTAGGACACAATGTGAGGCCAAGTTTAAATACCAAAATGGCCACTGTTGATCAACATGCATCGTATTTCATGGATCATTCGAGAACTAATAGTACTCACCCAGCGAAGCGGTGAGCATGCCGGCCATGAGCATAGATATGACAGTACCGAGCGATGTTCCCGCGTATACCAACGCCGCCATTACGCTGCGCTCAGCCGGTGGTGCCCATTTTGACAGAAGTACATGCATCGCAGGAAATGTAACACCCTGTGAAGTAGTGTGTAAGAGTAGGTTAGTCTTAAAAACTGTATATACAAAGTCAAGTTGACCAAAAAAAGATAATACCACTTATGTTATAGAATTCAATAGCTATAAAAAGAAAGAGCTAGAAATTGACTTCCGGTATACTCTTCACACGAAACACTATTGCATGCACTTGACGTCTGTTCTGTGTGGTCGTGGTGTCACACAGGATGCCCATTCTCTTCGTGCGTCAGCGTTCGGAGTTTACCACTGCCTAGTTGTTTCATTTCTGTTGCTTTAAAAATGTAGTACCAATTATTTAATGATTAGTCTTGAAGTATACATACCCCACCTATACCTTCTCCTATTCTCATGATGACCACCGCAATGTAATGCGCCTCCGCCATGACAGGCGTGAGCAAAGTGCACACAACATTTATAGTCACGCTGAAGAACATCACCCATTTTGCTGAGAATAACTCGGCTACACGAGCACCTGCCGGTATTAAACTTTTGTTAGCTTTAAATACTCGAAATACTAGGACAGTGTTACTCAAAGCAGCCGCAGTTCTCCGAGGAGCTTCTGGAGGTTTCACGAAAATTATTTTTGATCATAATTTAAAAGAATATTTAATGGGTAAAATCCTATTATAAGTTAGAACGCAAACTTAACTAAGATAAGAATTACAAATTCTTTGCCTTAGAATTATCAGACATAGAATCTAGGGTTCCGTCAAATACTTCGCTTCCTAGGGTTCCGCAAACTAAAAAGTTTAAGAACCGTTACATCAGAAGGTTTTCTTTTTCAATCTACAATGGTATTTGTTTCATGGTTATATATCCTAACTTACGTGATCAAACATCCATGATTACAAAGGGCTTTAAAACTTGTTTAATGTATGCATAACGATAACGGTTAAATAACGGTTTTGACTTAATGTAGTGGGCGTCGAGTTGTAAACTATGCATTCGAACTTAAGAATATCTTGTATCAATTTAAGACTTAATCTAACTTACCAGGTATTTGAGAAACGAAATAACCCCAGAAGTAGCAACTAAGAACTATTCCTTGAATTTCCGATGACCACTCGAATGGCCCATCCATTTCCTAGAACAAATACATTTTACTGTATGTATACAATAATTCATCTTTAATCTATCATCTATAATTGCTCTACCGTCATTAAGTCTAAATTTGCGTACCTATAAGTGTAAATGTAAACTATGACTAAGTATTCAAATTCATTAGCATTAATCATATCGCAACGTCCCGCGTGTCCAAAATCACGTCGCGTCGCGTCGTTCGTGTATAGTTATAGTAGAATTTTTGTTTGGCGCTAAAATTGACAGATGACAGCTCCACAACAATTACACTAAAAAGTTTAAAAACTCTTTTTTATACACACGAATTTATTGAACTAGAATGTCTCTCAGTTCCTCAGAACAAAGTACCAAAATTTAATAAAAATACGAATAGAGGACAATATACTCGTACACAATATACCTATATTGATTTTTATTTCGTTTGATATAAAGAGGCCACATTAGTACTTTCATAAATGTGTCGCGGTCATTACATTTAGCCCGATCGAATTGCGATGACCGCGTTTTGTCTCCCGATAAAAATAATTAGCCAACGACTTTTATTGCCTTTTCTTCTTTAAACATCATAAAGTGACCCAAATACTTAACGTATGTCTATAATTTATGCAAAATAATGGTCTGAACAGTTTATAGTTTTTAATTCGGTTGCCCGTTTAAAAATACAATGGTCTTATTTTAATTTTAAAAAATAATTCGGTTCTTGGTGAAAATTTAAGCTGAAATATCTAGATCTAAACAAGTTCAAACATAAGTTTTTTTTAGATCTAGGTATTGTAGATAAGTCAACGAGTTTTATACTGTAAACTAAAAATAAAATAATAGACCTACGAGTTAAGAGATGTACAGGAGAAAAGGTCGATTGTTTACTTATCCACGAATCTTGGAATTAGTCCAAAATTCAAAATAATTATTTTATCACATTCCCACCACTAGTATAGAAGCGTTCGATATTAATAAAACCTCGGTTAAATAATGTCTGATTTTATACCTAACTCAATAAATAAAATAAAATGTAATACTTTTTGTCGCATTGTCGCGACGACAAGACGCAGTTTACTACAAACCAGATAAAATAGTAATCGAAATTAAATCATATGGGTATTTGTTAGTCGAATCTTGCGATATTTACGATAATGAAATATCAATAAGCAACCTTGTTACAATCATTGATTCATTGTGAATAAATGGTACGTATCTATACATTGTAGTTCTAAAAAATTAAGCTTAAAATTATCAATATGACCAAGGTCATTTTATATGTAGTAATGGTCAAAATAACCCTAAGTCCTACAAAAATTATTGTAACAGGTCTTAAAGCTTATACGTATGTACTACTAAATGTATGTGTAACTAAATGTTATAAATTTCAAGTTAATTTACAATTCTGCTCTTTCACGTTATTGTTGATCTGGAAATTTTATCAGTTTTGGCGCCAAACGCGTAATGTACAATGGCGCCCGATTTATAAATATCACTGTTTTTCTCCTCAAATTAAAGATTGTTCAAATAAAACAATTTTTATACCAATTTTCGCTTCGCACATCTACTGACGCACTCACAGTCTTTATGTTGTCTCCACTAAGGGATTCCCTTAGTGCTCAAATAACGACCCAAATGCGTCAGTCAATTTTTAAATGTCTTACCGTGACGTGACTGCCGCTAGAAGTTGGTTGACATTCCACATCACTAGGCGGCGTGTAGTTGCCTAACCCCAGGAGCTCCCTGTCAGGATTAGAGGCTAGGCGTATAGACGTGTGGTTGAGCATTCCGACCATAGCAACTGACAGGTTCACTTTCAAACCATAGACAATCGCCATCGCGATAGATCCCAGCACAGCGAGCACATACCGTGCCGGCACCACCTCTGTTGACAAAACATTTTATTATACCGAGAACCCTGAAGAAATTCCTACGATGAAATCAGCATTGGTCTGGATATTTTCAAGATATTTTTGGCAGATAAAAATGAATTTGTTTGCAGAAAGAAATAATTCCAAAAAAGTCAATTGCAATAGCTTTACCTATTTAACGATTAATAAGATTTCTTGTACTAAAATCTAAGTAATATTATATTAATGTTTATAATGGTAACTAATACTTTATTTCTTGAGTAATCAAATCTTAAAATTGAATGTGCTAGCAAAAGTTTACATACAAATGTATCTCTTTCCTGGTAATAATACAACCCATTGCTGTGAAATCGGAAGGAATTACGGAATACCTATATTAAACAATTTTCCTAATGCTTAAATGCGTCCCACCTTCTTTAAGTTTACCTTCAGTTCACCTTCATTCAGTTTACTTAGTATTGCGTCAGATCGCAATCGCAAATATTTATAAATCAATTTAAGATTTGTCATTTTACTAAAGAACACAAATATCTATTTTGTCTTACGATTTGATATTTCATTAGTTAAGGATAAAAATATAAGGAACTCCATACGTTTTCAAGAGCTTGTACAAATATTACACAGATAAATACAAACAGCAAACAACATTAATACATTTCGTGTATTTAAAAGTGGACTTTATAACTATTGTGGTAGAGTATACAATAATAAATTGAAGTCAATCTAGCGCGTAGTACGTTATCCTGTGACCTTCCCGCACAACAAGGTTGTAAGATCCAGAATGAAATGTTTCGTAACATATTCCCCTAGCAAGTTCAAGGGTTCAATTTATTCTGGGCGAAGGAAACAAGCCATCATTCCTTGGACAGTGCCTATATCGAACTATTTTTAATTCGATTTCTAACAACTAATATTTATTAAGTTACATTAATTAATTATTGAGTAGGTTTGTTTCAATGTTTTAAAACTTATCAAAAAATTAGGGTTGTCAACTTGTCAAACAGCCTTCTCTACAAAATCACTAAAATCCTTAATCAAGTTTTACTTAAAACAAATTGCGCGAAAAATTTGCAAAGTAATAAAATATAATAGTTATAAATATAATTAATACCAATGTATGGCTCATCAAATGTGAATTAATTCTCATAATTTCTCTTCAATCAATTCTTCAAACATACTGTCGACAACCCTATTATTGACAACGTCATTTTAATTTTTATCATTATGCGTCCGAGTTCAATGCACTTTTCCTCTGCGTGTGTTGATTTAAATATAATGATGTATTTACTACTACAATAAATCACTACAACGCAAATGTTTTAAATTTATTCTTTTCTCCCCAAACGATATTCTATCAAAAGCTTCTTACGATATCGAATAAATATGATTATATGATTCTACCGAAAAACTACAGTAGCACAATAAGATTAAGTTAAAACAACACTGAATTTTGCCATAGATTAATTTTTGAACACAAAATAAAAAATGTATCTCTTAAATAAATTATGAAGGTAATTATTAGGCAAAAGGGCACGATTTATGTTCACATAACGACATCAATAATAAACATAACCCGTATCAATAAAATATAAATAAAATAAACTTACTTCCGAATATATTCCCTTTTGCTGGTACATCAGGATCATCCATGGTGATAATTTAAAATAACGGTCGTTAGTTTCTAACACAAGCTTGTTGTAATTACACAAAATAAACCAAACACACGTTTGTCGTCAACGGAATGTCGTACGCGTTTGCCGGGAACGTATAAGAAACGTATAAGAAACGTTTTAGTAAATGCAAGCCACCAGAAACATGTTGCAATCTCAGTCATAATACTAAAGACTCTCCCTCTCCTTAATTTACTTATAGACGGCGCATTCTTTCAGTTCATCGTACGTGATTTCTACCATGTACCGAAATGTTTCTGACGTTCCGAGCGTCCCGTTTGAGCTTTCGCGGTCTTTCAAGGTGACCTTCAAAGCTCCTTAGAGATCGATTGAATACAAAACTACGTATGAAATTATATTACTGTTATGACTTCAAATTAATATTATCGTTGAAAAGAACATAATTATAATCTTAATTTGTTTAAAAAATTAATGTTTACGTAATGGAAATTGTAAATTATTACTTCATAATACACATAAGGCTTTCATCAACTTTCATCGTCATTAGTGACATCTAGTGTTTTGTAGCAAACGGTTAGTTTACACTTTATACGATTTTTTTACTTACTTTCCCTACAAGATGGCGCCTTACGATATTTATAATCAAAAAATGTATTACTAGGAACTAATATTAAGTAGTCTTTGCATTAAAGTCTTTTGATTATATAGAGTCTCCCAAAGTTCAAAGATAGTTAAGAGAAAGAAGGAAATGTATATAAATTGTAGTAGTTGGTAAGTAGTGGCAGTAGGTAGTAAATGGTAATAGAAGTAAGTTGTAGTAGATTATTATTGCGTTCATTCTCAACCCGTTTCATTCTTTCATTCATTCATTCGAATAAAAATCATCATTCGTCAAATCAAAAGTCAAGCAAACGTCATTGACGAATTGACTTTAACGGTGGTTCCGCGTATTCGTAGACGTTAAAAAGTGTGATAAAAATAAGTTATTATCTTAACTGGATAATATAACTGAAATGTATTCTACATTGTTCATTTAAGTGGTGCCTTTCGGCAGTCAAACTTCGGGTAGGGATTAAACCGCACGAACAAACTGTTTACGTTAACAAACTAAAGAACCGTAAACTAAGGAAAGTAAGCGAGAATCGGAGGTGAAAGTTTGTCTAAAATGTTTCGTGCTAAATCGTGAAGCTATGCCAGCTAATATAGCATATAATTAAGTTTAATTAAAACACAATTGGGACCTACTTGCAAATTCATAATATTAAGTTTGAAAATAATTAAAATTGTAGTGTCCGTGTTTTGAAAACTCGTTAAAGAAGATAATTTATTACAAATGGCTTTAAAAATGGAACCAAAGAATGACGTAGATTTTATCTTGAGGAATTTATTGGCAGGAGGTAAGTCTCCGTTATTTATTTTAATTTAATAAATTAATTTTATTCATAATTTTTTACCACTCTTTAAAACATAAACCAAAGTTTTCTTTATTTTTGCCTAGAGGTAGAGACAAGATTGATAATTTAGGGCCACTAATTTAAACCTCTTATATCACATATTAATGTGTTCAACATACAACAGGTGTAGCAGGCATGTGTGCTAAAACTGCAGTAGCTCCGCTTGACAGAATAAAGATCCTGCTGCAAGCACAATCTGTGCATTACAAACATCATGGTGTGTTTGGAGGACTGACCGCAATTGTCAAACAGGAGTCCATCTTTGCGCTATACAAGGGCAATGGTGCTCAAATGGTTCGGATATTCCCCTATGCAGCAACACAATTTACAAGTTTCGAAATTTACAAGAAGGTATGTAAAAGTTTATTTAAATGTAGACAATTTTGACAAAAAAAAATAACTTGTAGCTAATTATTTTTATAATTATATGCACTAAAGTTCAAAGTTCATAAAGAACAAGAGAGCATAGGTCACTTCTTCAAATACATAGAATTACAAAGTTTCCAAACATTTTTTTGTAAGTTTTGACATATTTCATAATGTGAAAAACTTGTATTTCTGACAAACTCGTTAATTCCTTTTCTAAAAAAAATGTACTGCGAAAACATTTTATCATATTAACAAAAGGCAACATATTAATAGAGCCTTGCTGTGATCATGTTATTGGCTCATACATCACTAATAGGCTCAAAGCCTACCAAATTTAGGGGTGACATGCTGTAGTAGACTACACTCTGGCTCTGTGTGGTTTGGTTGACTTGATTGTCAAAATAAAAAATACTTGCCTAACTTTTGGTTTATTGTTTATCATTAATATTAAATTGTATAAATTGTTTTGAGATTCCAATAAAACCTAAAAGTCATGAAAAGGTCAATAGAAAAGACAATCAGCTGGCAGACAGGCTCAATTCTCTATGAATATAATATGGAATTCTCTCTACCAAATCTTACTAATATTATAAATGCCAATGTTTAGATGGATGGATGGAAGCATGTTTGTTTCAAAGTAACTCCGATATGGCTCAATGGATCTTGATGAAATTTTGCATAGATGTAGAACATAGAACACATAGACTACTAATTAAGTTTTTTTTTTTAATTCCGCGCGGGCGACGGCTAGTATATTATGTAACTTTTATCTATTTAACTAGAGTAGTTCACTTTAATACTTTTTTGTGTATATTTTAATTTAACTAGCTTTACCCTTAAAGGTTATCAATGTCATATGTAAGTTTAAAAAAACACATTTGATGATAAAAGCATGATCTAGTTAAATAAAAACAAGATTAAACTAATGGTATATATTTGAATTTCAAACAAAAGTAATTTTCTTTGTTGCAATAAAAACTTGCATTGAAATGAATATGTAAATATTATTTGTAATTATTTCTTACAATACAAAGAAAAAGATATTGATTTATTGTCATTCTTTATTATGAAGTAAAATATATATGTTTTTGTTATATTTACCAAATAAAACGAGTTAAACTGATATATAAACACGGCTTAACATTCACGTATATTCGTCCGGTGGCGGCACTGACTAGTTTCGAGCTCATCGGGGGCCCTTCATCAGGAACATGAAGGGCCCCCGACATCCTTTTAAGAGTGGTAGAACCCGCTTTAACATCTTCGCACGAATTGGCAAGGTTCGCCCGGTGCAATACCACCACCACACAGAAAACAGGCGTGAAGTGGAAGACATTCCGCGTTTCGTCTGATGAGTGTGCGTCCCGGAGGCCTAATTTAGTCCTCTTTCCCTTCCCACCCTTTTCTTATAAGGAAAGGATGGGAAGTGGAAGTGAACTTTCCGGATGAGAGGATGCATGGAAAGGGAAAATATTTTCTTTCTGTGCATCCTCTCCTCCGTCGATTAAAGGTAGGCAACGCATATGCAATTGCGTATGTCTATGGGCAACGGTCACTTCGCTATTTCAGCGATTTCAGGTGGCCGCTCGCTCGTTTGCCACCTTGTGATATAAAAAAAAAAGGATAAGTGGTGACTCCAAGTGAGCGACGAGCCGCGTTCGCGAAATAATACCAGTACCACTCATTCTGATGAAAGGCCCCCGATGGGCTCGAAACTAGTCGGTGCCGCAACCGGACGAATATACGTGAGTATTTAGCCGTGTTTATATATCAGTTTAGTATAATGTCTCACGAAAGTTTGAATAATTTAAAACGAGTTATTTTAAAAATGTCAAATAATATTATGATCCTCAAATAGTTAATTGATTTTGTAATTATAAATAAACTGGATAACAACAATAAAACTAAATATATAACTAATGTTTCTATTAATTAATTGTAATCATGTTATTGTTATTTCAATTTAAATGTTATAATATTTAATTGCAAAGTTATTTGTTATAATAGTATAACAAATAGCTGTTTATTATCAAATTAATTAACAGCTTAACTTATTTGCCATATAAAAGATTGTGTCCTTTGTAGAGCACTGAGGGAGTTACTTAGATTTAATAGAGTAATCTACACTAGGGCCTGTTTAATTTGTCTCTAACCGGGATAAACCCGCAGTAAGTGTAGAAGTAGAGTTGTTATCAATGGTTTAATTGAGTTGGTTCGACCGGATCACGATCTTACAATATAGAGACGCGGAATCGAACCATATTTTCGTGTCCAATTTAAATGTATAATGTCATTTCCTTCAAGAATAAAACAACCTCATTTTCATTAATGTTTTCCTCAAGATAAATGTCATCGAGATGTAACTTAGTTACCTTGCACTCGAAATTAATTTCTCTGCCCTTTCGAAAGTTCATAGCTGCGACATATTTTTGTCTCTATTGTGTCAAAGAGAATGAAAGGGATGACGATATATTTTTATACAAGAGCATTATTTATCTGAACAATATTGGGTGTTCGTGTAATGAATTCGGTTGGTTCATTGTAATGTACTGAGCAACTTACGACAAGGTCAGGCCGACTGTGTACCTTTTATGTCACATCTGTTTAAAATGCGAATTTTTAATTTTTTCCTTCAACGATCGTAGAACAAGACTGTAACGTATTGATTTTTTCATATTTGTATCGTGTGAAATCAATTTTAATGGATGAAAGAAATTAAGAAATTCTTAAACTTATTTTAAATCGTAGACTAGATACGAGAAGTAGCCAATAAAAATAAATCTGCGAGGCTAGACAAAGTGCATACGCTCCGAACCGATTCCATAAAGGATTTCAAATATGAAACTGATAACTTTTGATAAGTCACGTGGTTGTCGTGTGTCAGTTTATTACATTTTATAAATTAGTGCATGGAATCACTTTAGAACGAATGTACTTTATCTAACCCTTCTGATGGATTGAACTCTAACATGTTGGAAAAGAAACTAATCGAATGAAATGAATGATGAGTACAACTCTATCCCGGGAAAAAAAAACATAGCTTGACATTTTCTGTTACGAATGACATATAAATTGTTACTGGTACAGAAAATAAATAATTAATATAATAAAAAAAACATTTAAATTCTTATTTTCTTATCTTATAAATAATTTTAATATATATTTTTTTAATTTAACTATCACAGTAAATAATAAATGATTTTCTCTCATTGTTAAATCACGTAGTTGCGGTAAAAAACGACATTGACCTTTGTTTTTATGATCATAGAAAAAATCCAACTTTGGTCATATTATAATTTCTTATACAGCTGTAAAGTCTTTATTTACTATGTAGGTACATGACATATTTTGTAAATTTTATATTTGTATACGTGCTTTCATGCTTAAAGCCGGCAACGCATCTGTGGTGCCCCTGGTGTTTGCTTAGCGGATGTCCATGCCCACCGGTGACCTTTTTACGTTGACTACTCTTACCCTAAAGGAAAACACATTTTCTACATCAGTAAAACCGTTATTCGCAATCAAATTCTTTACAATCTTGTACCATTAAATTGTAGTAGTATCTAAATTGATGGAAGGGGCCGGAGTTTATAAATGGATTGTTAAGTGGACAGCCATAATGTTTGTAACTGGATTTCCACTGTCAAGACTCCCGTTGAAAAATATTGCCGTCTCAGTTTTTTAAAAAAGAGTAAAAGGGATGAGAATTCTTTTTTAGATATGTGGTGCGCGTTAGTAACCCACGATTACCACTCATAACTTTTTTTTTCAGCAATATTGATACGAATAGTAAGTAACTATAGATCATTTCAAATATCTTGGTGGCTCAAGATTTTGTGCGCAGCGACTCGTGCGACGTTCGAGCGGCCAAGATATTTGACAACCTCAATATAATAATAAATTTTGTTTACAAGTGAAAACAAAATGTTTGTATATTTAGTTTTTATCGTATTTGTAGTAACAGATAAATCACGATTTATTTATCACGATCTTTGATTTTATGTAGCAAATTTAGGTGAGAATTATTATGTTATTGACAAACGTGTCTAAGACTAGACTGGACAATAATATTTTGTTTGCTTTTGACGACACACCCACTGGATTACTTAAACATCCTTTTAGTACGTCAACTAAATAAAGAATTTTGATAGCTACTTAAATTTATGTAAACTAACTTGTACTTACTGCTACTTAAATTTATGTAAACTATGACTTAAAACAAAGAAAAGGTTCCTAACTTGTAAGTTAGGAACCTTTTCTTTGTTTTAAGTCTGTTATAAAGTTACTCAACCTTATAAGTTTTGTTTAACATGTAATAGGATTAAGTTATGGAGGTCAAGCCACCTCACTCGTCCGACGAAATGCAGTACAGTTCGTTTCAAATATCTTAGCACCCAAAGACTAAGGCGCACTGCGCAGTGTCTTTCCCCAGCATTTCTTTACGCCCGCTACAACTAAAATTAGCCGACATGATATCTGACAACTCCTGTACCTATGTTTCTATTATAAAACAAATACCATTTGCGGAAAAACAATATAGCATAGACCATTATGGTTTCCACAAAGCCTGCTATAATTTTGTTATCTACTTTTAACGTTGATTTCTTTTCCAGTATCTAAGCGTGATAAACATCCCGATGGTGCAGCACGGTGACAAGTTCGTTGCGGGCGCGGCGGCCGGTGTCACCGCTGTCACGCTCACCTACCCGCTCGACACGATACGAGCACGCCTCGCCTTCCAAGTGACAGGCGAGCACCGCTACACCGGCATCGCTAACACCGCCATGACCATGTTCCGCACGGTTAGTGGAAACGCCCCTTATCGCCGCACATAGAGTATTAAAGTTAAAGGGAGAAAATATTAAATTTTATGTTCTGAATTAACTCAAAAATGACTGGACAAATGTTAAAATTTCTTTTTTGTTTTAGAAAGTCCTTTTATCAGCCAGTGATTGTACTTATATAGGCTGGTAAGTAGTATGTTATATACAATAAAAATTCCTTATTCGCGGAATCCGACTGTCAATTATTACGGCGTCGACGTACTTTTTTAGTACATATTTGTCTGACATATTGGTACAATGTACAGGAGGGCGGTATCCACGCGTTATACCGCGGCTTCGTGCCAACGATGGTCGGCATGATCCCATACGCCGGCTTCAGTTTCTACTGCTTCGAGTCTCTCAAGTACCTCTGCATGAAGTACGCGCCCACCTCGCTCTGCAGAAAGTGCGACAGGAACACAGGTCAGATAATACCAGAGATTTAAACATAATACTAGTTATAGAGCGGATATTCAAAAGCACGTAATGACTTGGGGGGTCACACAAAAATGTTTCTGTGTTTAAAAAGATGTACTGCATCTTTTTAAATACACGGTTTCTTTCGTAACATTCTGTCTATTAAATCTTACATCAACAAGCAAGTTTCCTACTAGTAAAATAGCTAAAAGCAAACGATTTGTTTTGAAATAAAAATAATTTAAACTTTAGCAATAGGAGTGATTTACTTGATTTTGTTGCAATGACGTAAATACAGCTGCAAAATATTTTACACGGTTCGTTAAATTTAACACGAGATTTAATTTTACATGTCGATTACAAATAGCTGAAGTTTTTAGCAAGAATATGTGCAATATATTTGTAAATAAATTTAATGTACCATTTCATCGACTTGACTATTCTCTACTTGTTATATCTTACCAATCTTTAGATGTTGCGAATGTTTAGATGTATGGATGTTCAAAAATATCTCCAGAACAACTGAACGGATCTGGATGAAATTTCGTATAAATTTGGTATACAGTCTGGAAGAACACATAGGCTACTAATTATGTTTTTTTTTAATTCTTCACGGACGGAGTTCTACATATAAATGAATCTAATGAATATTTTAGAATAATATCGATCTATAGTTGTACGAGGAAAATCTCCGTTTGTTAGTCTCTAAGCGCTACTACAACCTTGAGATCATCGCTTCTTATTTCCATATGACATAGACAATCTATCAAGTAGAATGAACGTTATTGTTGTCTCCGGATCAAAACGGACACCAACAAGGTTGGTGAATTACTAAATAAGTAACGTTTTGTATCGTGTTACGTTCATAAGTTGAAAGAAAACCTCGCGATGCAATCTGCACAGGTGAGCGTGGTTGACCCATGGCCTACTCATCCCGAACTTAGGGTAGGCCGGAGCCCCTCAGTGGGGACGTATAGTGAGCTGATGATAATAACGTATTAAAAGTATCCTGAACTAAGGGTGTATAAATGTGAAAGATGTTGAGGTGCGAGGACCGTGCTGAATTGGAACTTTTCGATTTCGGCCTATTTCTTTGTATTACGGTGTTGATCTAGATAAACTCTTCAAAGTACTAGTATAATTTGCAGGTGGTCTGGTGCTGACGGTGCCAGGCAAGCTGGTGTGCGGAGGGCTGGCTGGTGCGGTAGCGCAATCAGTGTCCTATCCGCTGGACGTAACACGTCGCCGCATGCAGCTCGCCTGCATGGATCCCAATACCGCTAAGTTTGGGTAAGTTGCAACACTTATGGAGGTAGTTTGATAATACTAACATAACCTAACAGAAGGCTATTCTAACCTAACACCTGGTTAACATAACCTGAAACACTCTGTAAATTATGAGTGTTTCTTGTCGAGTATGACGTATTTGTTGAAATGTTTAATGGTATGAGACATTTCATGATGCTTTTGACAAAAAATTGGTGATTGGCATCTATCTAATTTAATAACTAGACTAGTATGCATGGTATATAACTAATCGTTGGTTCCTGAGGTCAAAATCTCTGTATAAAATATATCGTCATCCCTGTCATTATCTTTGAGAAAACAGACATAGCAGTATGTTTTAAATGAGGATTTCGGTCTGAGAAACCCACGGTAAATTGAGTAAATCAATAAAAATTAGAAATCATAATTTAGTTATAATAATAAGTAGTTGTTTTGAATTTAGTGTAATTCGTTAATTGTATACATTTATAAGTTGGGATTTAGAGTCGAGTTAAACATTGCTTCATCTTCACTAATCGTGGGTTTCTGAGACTAAAATACCCGTATGAAACATATTGTTATCTCTGTTTTATCAAAGATAATGACAGGGATGACGATATGTTTAGATATTTTGGTCTCACAAACCAACGTTAAGAGAGGCTTATGTCCATCAGTGGGCTTATGAGTCGGAAATAATATTTGCTCTCTGTTGATTGTAGATTTTTATTATATTAGACTGGTCTAGCTTTTGCATCACGTGTAAGAATAGTATAAAATATGTAATTACTAACAAACAATTATTTCATATTACATAATCTTTGCATGTGGTGATGGCGTAAACAACAGAAGGTTGGTTATAGTTTTTATATTTATTTCTATAGTACATAATAACCCGCAATTAATTATGCATATTAATGGCCTTTAATAGATTAATTATAAAAAAAAATATGTTTCCAGTAAATTATATTCATTGCATAGTTATGACATAAAGCATGTTTATTATTTTAAATTGGTTATAAAAAAAGTAATATTCTGTGATACGAGACAAAATTACCAAAAATTAAGTAAACTTCTATCAAATAACAAGAAAGAAGTAAGGTTATGTTATTAAAGGAAAAAATTTTCATTAAAATAATATTTATCGTAAAATAAGTGACATTTAACAATATAAAAATATTATGGCGCTTTATGCTTTAAAAATAAAACTGTAATTTCCGAACGGAAGCCTAATTTGTTAATTTTTTTATAGCGCGGGAATGATTAAAACATTGACGTTGATATACCGAGAGAATGGTATCACAAAAGGATTGTATCGCGGCATGAGCATCAACTACCTCAGAGCCATTCCAATGGTCGCCACATCATTCTCCACATACGAGCTCATGAAGCAGCTGCTCCAACTGGACACGGGCATGAGCGTCGCTTAGATGTCTATACTCAAACTTGACAAATCTGACCCGGTGGCAGGAAATGACACGAAATAGCAATACCTCATTAGCCATTCTGTCAACAGTGTTGCCAACATATACAAAGGTGCTGTTTAAAATGCCGAAAATATGATATTTTATATAAAGTTAAATGTCAATTTTTAATCAACTGTTATTAAAAAAAAATATGCTAAACAATAAAAATGTGATGAACTGACTAAAAATCCGCCAAATTTAGCCATATAATATACTAAATTGGCAACACTGTTTAGCAATGTCAAGAAAGTGCTACGAGGTCCTTGTTTTGTGTCATTTTCTATGTATAAGTTTGTTTCAGTCATATTTTCTGAGAGATTTGCGTTAACGGCGCTTCTCACCTGGTCAGAGTGTTTGTCGCTATTTATTTTTACTAGAAAAATATACCAAGCTAACAAAAACTACCAAATGGCAGGAAATATATTAAAGGGTATTATTAATAGTTAATAGTGTAAAGTCTCTCTGTTCTATAATTTATAGTCTGCAGATTCATGACGTCACTATCAGTATTTGTAAAGGTATTTTTCAAATACGCTAATTGTTTAGATATTTCCAGGTTGTACAATCAGTACACAGTTAAATTTGTTAAATAAAATGACAATTCTTAAAGAATTTCGACTACTCAAATATTTGAGGTTATGAAAGCGTAACAGTTTGTTTGTTTTTTAATATGAAATTTGTTATTGTTAACCAAGTTAAGAATCTTTTGGCATTATTTGTGGGTTATATTTACATACGTTGTATTGTTTGTTTTTCACCTGAATTAAATATAAGTCATAACCTAAATTCCGATCGTTAAACGTAAATAAACATTTTTCCTCCAAAAATTTCATTACATTGAACCAGATTCACGTTCTTCGTATAAATAATTTTTAATATTTAACGAAAAACACGTATCTGTTTATTTTAGTAAGAAAGATTGCACACGTTTAACAAAGTTTTTTTATTTTAAATAACAAGTCTTCTTGGTTAAAATGTATTTTAGGAAATTGTGTATACAATTATTACTCTTGGTGTTTATTTTCCACAAATGGTTATTTAATTAAATTATGGTTGTCGAAAATTAGGTATTAATTTTAGATAATATATAACTTTAAATATGAGGAGTCGACAAAATAATGTATTTATTGAATTTTATTTAAGCTTAAATGTTACAAGACCTTTGAGGTTATATTCTGCCACAAGTTTGACATTCCTTATAGGACGCGTTTAGTTCATGCGAAATAAATAAAACTGTATTTTTTTAATTTATTTAATAGACAAGGAACGTACATTTTAAACTAAAGGAGACCACTTTGAGTACGACTGCAAGTAATTTTAAAATATTTATACAAATAATTAATTACACAAAACAATTATTATCATTATTATGAATAAAATTCGAAATATTGCATCGTTTTTTTAATTCAATTTTATTTAAATGATAACTGTGGTGTCGGTTGATGTTTGTTAAATTTTTGTGTTGAATTTTGTTACACAAATTAAAAGATTCACTGTATATTTGTAAAATTTTTAATTTTCTAGATGGTCAGATAATTGTTAATATTAAAAGGACTACGGGAATAACTAGCGAAAAATTGTGCAAATAACAATTGTTATGGATTTCTGCTGCCGCAACATACATATAAAGCATTTGTCATTCTTTAAAAAAAAGGTTATCTTCAATTGTTTTTTTTTACTTTCGATTGAAAGTTAAAATGAAGTAAATGTAGTTGCGTCAAATCCCATACATGGCAGCTGTCATAATGGCTGCCATGTATAGGTGATCATAATCTTTGACTTTTTTAATTATTTTATGAAAATTGTTTGAAGTGATATTGTAAAATAAGGGTAGCTGTTGATCTATAGTTATTGCAAAAAAAATGTTTGACCAGATATATTTTGAAATTTACTTAATTTAAGTGTAAATTGTAGTTTAGAGTTTTGATTGGAATGCGAATGTTTCGGCGGCAGAAACCCTCGGTAATTTTATATAACTTATGCATTTCAATGGCCTTTGATACAGGTGTGCTGTTTGTATATATTCAAATTAAAAAATATATATTTTTTTGAATATTTTATTCTTTTATTTATGCAGTCTCCTTCCTTGCCATGATCGGACGTAAGACGGATATTTTGATTTAGCTCTTATTTCTTATACTTTAGGATTTAGGTGATCCGCTATAAAGGCGAAATAAAACAAGTATCTATAATTAATTTTATTTATTATCTAATACCTATCAACGGGCATAGTACAGTTGTAAGAATAATTTTATTTGTAATCAATTTATCGGTTATCTTTTGATTTTATCGCCATTAATGTGCACAGCTATTTTAATAATACGTTATATTGCAACAGCACATCACTTCGTATGTCACACAACACTCGTTCAATTAAAAAAAAAACATGCTCCTTTGTATTCCATACTTTTGAATGTTTGAATAACCTAAGCAAATAACCGGAAAAGCCTTAATTTACACACGCGAGCTTCAACCGAGTGAAAATCCATCAGCTAAAGCATAAAATCAATATATATAAGATGCATCACTTTACAACTTTCACACAACTGAAGCTCAACGTCATACAATAATTTTTTTTGTATATTTTTTCATTTTTTTTTATTTTTTACCTATATCTTATTTAATACTTAAATCAATACGTGTGGCTTCAGATGTCATTGGTGGGAAGTCTTTGTATTCAAAACCCACACGTTTTTTTTTGTTATATTTATTGAAGTGCAAATCGTGGAAATGTAAGATCTCTTCGTAAGCCTGTAGCTATTTTTAAATTGCTTCTTTAACACCATGATACTGATAACGAACAAACCTCTAGTTTGGGTTATGCTTTTAAAGATGTTTAGTCAGATTTTTTTTATCTTGGTGTTCGTAAGCCGTTGCTAATTTACAGCGTTTATTACTAAAATGGCGATCCTTGGCGAATGGAACACGTCTCTTCTTTTTTCGTGTAAAAATTTTATATCTTTTAAATCAAATATATTTAAATACATTAAAAAGCCCATTTGAATGTAACTTTTTAGTGACTTACATGCATTATTTCTCAGTTTGATTATAAACTGAAAGTAATTGATAATAGATTGATGGATGACGTTGGTACTATAATTGGTAAAATGGTTAAACAAATGAGTTAGACCATTATGGACTCTTAACTAAATTAAAAACTTTATTATTGTTTTTCAATCCATTGAGATTGTTTAAAAACGATATATTTTATTGACGAAACGTTTATTTTAATATTAGGGCTAATTAATGTATTCAAAATCACGATCCAAATACTCTATTAGGTTGTAACTATTGTATATAATTTAGGAAGAAAAATAATCCATACTTAAAACCAAAAAGTAACAAAAAAAAATTATTTAATATGCCTTGCTAATTTAAAGGTATTTACATAAAATGAAACTAAAAAATAATTATATTGAAATACATATAGAAAAAAAAACTAAAAGCTCCACTCTTGTGAACTTTATTCCATGTTTTACAGGTACTCTCGCAAGAAAAGGAGAATTTGGAATTACAAAAAAAAAATCTCGAAATGCTAAAATCAATATTTTGTCGCAGAATGGCGTATAGCGATACGAAATACAAGATTCTCTAATGCTAGTAAATAGCTGCCATACACGGACTACTTCTACGGTTCCGACACACTCCGTGTATGGAGACCGTGAATTATCGATACCGGCTGTTTGTACCAGTCCGTGTATGTCCAGCCTAAGTTTATAGTTCAAGCCATTCTGTTACAAAACTAAATGCGGGCTATTGTTCGATACAAAGTATTGAGTGATGACGTCACATCGTACTTTGTGCCTCAATTAAAAATAATTCTAAATCACGGAACATATAAGAAGAGTTGGTACAAGTAGATTTTATTTTATGATTAAAAAAAAATTAATAAATTTTGAGAGAAACATTGATTTTTTTTTAGATTCGAAATTTTACATTTCATAAATATTTGTGACTTTTTTTGCGCCAGTTTTAAATTATTTATACATCGATAAAATAATATTCATATTTGACAAGAATTTAAACACTTTACAGGTTTAAAAAAAAATATCCATCGCTAACTCAAATGTAAATTATAAATGTGTATAGTATCGTAGATGCAAGCTCTTCATATATGTTCTATGTTAAAGAAAGTCCATTGGAATAAAACTGGTTACTCAAACTGGGTTGATTATAAATATACTAACTGACTATAGCAATTTTGATCTACATTTTATATATGAAAAAATATTCCGTAAGGAAGCGACGCGCGGAGCCTTCCCACCATTATGGTGGTATGTCCATTCGACGGAGAATTAAATAAAACCAACGTTTTAGCAAATGTACGCAGTTTAATGAGGTCTTTAGTGTCTTTGATACATAAGTTTTAACATAAGTATATTTTGAAAAACTTGTGTCGCACTGTCGAGTCGCGCAATGAACATACCAGCATAATCTGAGCTTAGGCTACGGGCAAGAACCTGAGCCCCGCCCCCTGCGACACGCCCCGCCTACCGCACTCCGCGGCCCCGCCCCCTCGCCTCGCTACACCCCGTTACTAGATTCAGTCTCAAAGTAACGACCTGAATCGTATTGCAATTTACTTTTATCGATTCAAGGAAAGATTTTTTTTCTTAAATTATCTTCTTACAAACATAATAATTATATCATTATTGCTTTGAACTTGACATATTAAACTTTAATATTATAAGAATAGAATAGATACTAAAAGCTGTATTTTGAGACTAGGAAAGTAAAAATGAAGGATAACGGAATGCATTCCTATCAAGGACATTATTTAAGCAACTGTGATTTGTGAACTAGCGAGGCGAGCTACTATTGAATTATTTGCTCATGAAATACGATATAAATATGACATTATCATTGGAATAAAAAAGTGCTATGTGAGGCGGGGTTCGCGGGAGACGGGGCTTGGTCAGGCGAGGGCGGGGCGGCGGTGCGGGCGAGGCGGAGCAGCAAGCGGACGGCGGAGCGCCCCATCCGCACTCGAGCCCCGCCCTTCACGCTCGCCCATGATTGCGCCACCGCTGTAAACAACATTCATTATTAATTAAATTGTTTATCAAGTAAACCTGTTAGTATCACCAACATTAAGCAGTGGTTTATGAAAAATTAGGGCAACATTATGGTACTTGTATTTTATAACTTGCAACACTTTTCATATCCGCCTTCCAATACAGCTTTGGTACGTTCTACTACTATATTTATTTTTTATCCTTTTTTTTCTCTATATTACATTACCAGCAAGAAGTTACTGATACAGTCCACCCAAATCCTCTCTCATTCCTTTATAAAAACCTCCCTGGTTGGTTGGTGTCCACCAACGTGATAGTAAAAGGATGAATTAACTTCAACGAGCTGCAGCACGAGAGAGAGACAATTGAAGCTATACATATGAGTTATGTACGGGTGCATTGTGTACTCACACTGGGTGTGCGTGCGGTGCGTGAGCGCGCTGCCTACATGAAGTAATCGGGCGTCCGCCGCGTCACGTGCGGCTCGCCGCGCCGCGGGGCCGGGTCGAACTGCAGGCTGCAAACAAACAAACAAACATATCAATACTGCACATTAAGAAACATTTAACTATCTAAACAAACAATCGTAGGTCATAATTCTAAATATCCATAGTGTGGGACTAAAGTCACCTTGATTAGATATCGATTGAAATTAATCGATTCCTTTATGTCATCACTTTGCGCTAATAATCATTCCATGTCGTTACATATTTTTCTTCTGAGTTCATTTTAAAGTAACATTTCACCAGTTACTAGCAGTAAAATTTTTAAATACAAATGCTTTTACAAACTTTTTATAAAACAATGTTAAAAATATTACTTACAATGAATACTTAAGCGCATCATCCAATTCCATAATGGCCGCTTGGTTACCACATCTGAAATAAATTATAACATTAACATTTTAATTAATTCGTTTCAGAAAAGTGGAGGGGAATCTTTATTGATATTTACTACATTTCATACACGAGAAAACTGTTAAAATCCAACAAAAACATCATAACCTTACCTTGAGTAAGATTTTCATTAAACATTAATTGCATCTAATTATATAATCACGTGTATAATTTAAACTTTATCTGCAGTAAATCACACTAGTGATGTCTCTTCTATAGATTTCTTATTATTAAACTACACTAAAAGAGAAGAAAGGAGATAAGGTAGGGTAGGGTACCTGTAGCAGTAATTGGGCGCTGAGAATATGGTGACGACATTCCTGTCGTGGCACCAGTTGTAGCCCTCCATGACGAGCTGATGGGCACGAGACACCAGCGTCAGCCCGTTGCTGTGGTTGAACGTCTCCGAGATGTCCTGCCCGAAAGTGTAGCCAGCGCCACGCGGAGATATGCCCCATCCGCCTCTGCAACACACATGGATGCATATTATAAACAACATTTTATAACATCAAATATTTATTCAGAGATAATGTAGAAGATTTCAAAATTTCTTATAAGATGAGTACAACAAATTTTCAGTAAAGAAATCTATGCAGTAGTTTAGTTATTAGTTTAATGCGTACACAGTTATTGGAGGACAAAAACTAGATGTATTACCCTAGTAAATCTACTATACTATAATAACGACCTGACACAATATAAGTGCAAATTATGAGTTTATAATAACTTTATATTCTATACCGAAACAGACAAATGCTACAGTATAAGGCAAGACTCAAATCATGTCAAGGACTCAACTTGAAACCAAGTTTCAACTCAAGGATTCACAAACGCTATTCCACAAACAAAACAAACGCTTAATTTTGGCAATTTATATCATATTTGTAATGAATTTATATCTTACTAATATTATAAATGCAATTGTTTGAATTATATGAATAGATGTTTGTTTGAAGGTATCTTGATGAAATTTGGAATACATAGTCGGAAAGAACACATTGTCTACAAAGGTTTTTTAATCCAGCGCGGATGGAGTCACAGGCGACAGCTAGTTTTGAATACATTGTACGATCCATCTTTAAATGGTTTGTAATCAATGTAATGCACTCATTTGCTTCAAGGTTTGAACAAAGACCTTGAAACATTTGAATATGCATCATTATGATAATGGACTGATCAATACAAATGTTATTAGCTTGCCTATGATACATTACTAGCTATCGCCCGCGATTCCGTCTCCAATATCACCAGAACTGCTGAACGGATCTCGTTGAAATTTGGCATAGATGTAGAACATAGTCTGGAAGATCTCATACACTACTTATTAAGTTTTTTAATTTCGCGCTGACGATGTTACGAGCTAGTGCCAGTTATTTATAAAGTCAGATGTAAAATATGATATTGGTTGACTTTTAGATAAACCTAGGAATGTCAACCTTAGTATTAATATTAGATTATTTATTTAATTATACTAAATAATATATAAACATCATGTTTTTCTATTGAAACTATCTAATTAGACCTTGTATTCACTTTATTGTCGAAACATAGATCACGCTAAAAACTTTATACCTTTCACTTAAGGTAATCTGTTTTTACTTCAACGTACAAATTAATATTGTAAAAAAGATTGAACCATTAAACCAACTAACATACAGCCCTTCCTTTTTTATTCATATATAAATAAAAAAAAGCACCTGTCTTCTAAATTTATATTACACGTGTATTATCCACGAACTTATCAATACTGTTTTTCAAAAAAACTTATCTTCCTTTTTACATTGTCATGTTCTAAAATCTATCTAAATATTTAAATTTTTAACCAGTTTTTGTCACTCTACTACACAATAAACTTGTCTTGCAATATTTAAAACAAACCAATATATCTTCATTAACAATCACACTTTAAAAGGCTTGCAGCTTTATTTCCATGACAAACAAGGAAATATCAATGTTAGGCAAGATGTGTGGGTGATATTTTTTTGTAATACAACTTAGGAATACGAACTATAGTATGATAGACATGCAATAACTGTTTACACCAAACAGTGTCATATTAGTGTGGGAAGTGATAATCAAAAACAATGTGTTTCTGACCTCTTCTTACAAATGACCAAATACAACCCGACCATAGTGAAAGGGTTTATTTTCCCATAGCTAATGTCACTTCGCTTACATTATTATATGAATTACAGCTATAGCCACAATTATTTAATGCTAAATAATCTGTTAGCGTAGATTTCTTGTACTAAAACTAAACTTAGGCCTTCATGAGTGATTAAAAATTTAATACGATGGTTAGTTTATCGGGGGACTCACCTATCATCAGGGTCACTCCAGAGAAGGTCACACATGGGTCCCTCATGAGGTACCTCCTGCACGCGGTCGAGCGCTCGGATGTGGTCGAGGGTGTCAATGGAGGGGCTGAGGCCGCCGTGCAGGCAGAAGATCTGGCCATCAACCAGCGCCGTCAGCGGCAGGAAGTCGAACAGGTCCGTGAAGTGTTTCCATACGGAAGCGTTACCGTATTTGCGCAGGCACTCGTCATAGAAGCCGTATACTTGAGTGATCTGACGCGATTCGTGGTTACCGCGCAAAATTGTTATTCTCTCTCGATATCTGACCTGGAAATTAAACGTACATTTTAAGGGTGAATATTAAACACAATACCAGAAACAATAGAACAAAACTAAATTCAAAGCAAGAAGTTGATAATATTAATCAACTTCTTGTGTTTATGTGGTTTAATCAATTTAAAACATACTTTGTGGCACTCGAAGTCATTACTAAGGGATGAGGAATACGTAAACCATAAATTACTTTGAGTATGACGACTTTATTTCATCTATAATTGAATCGCAACATGACAGTTTACTTGCTGGGGTGATTGTGTTTTTCATTAATATTTTATTAATATTCATAATCATTGTACAACAGTATTACAATTTAATAATCTTAATGCATTATATATTGTTAAAGTTATCAATTTTAATATTCCAGTTACATAGCGAGAACATTGACTTTTACATAAAGACCGAGTTGTCAATTCATACGGCTAAATAGAAGGGTTATTGACTTTATTACTTTTACGTTAGTAGTTAGACAAGAAAAAGGTCTTAGCACAATCTTCATAAATATAACAATGGTATAAAATAATTTTAAATGTTCGCTTAACTTTAATGCCAGTATTAACGAACATGTAAAACCTCTTTACTCGGTGTCTGAAGAGTTATTTCTTTGACAGATTGCACAGAATACAAATACATAAATCGGTTCAAAAATAACGTTATTGTTTAAATTACAAATAACCACGAGAGATGGCACTGAACTGTAACATTGTTAGCACGTTGTTTGTTGCGTTGTTAGTTTAGTGTGCGTTATGACTTTAAATACAGAACACTGTAAACAAAAGGCTAATCAAACATTAAAACAAAAAGTAGATGAAAACACAGAACTAGCTGCCCCCGATAAAAATATTGTTAGATACAACTGACTACCTAAAATTCAAAATTAAATGTCTGACAGGGATTGTAAACCTACGGCACGCGACTTAATATTTTGGGCACAACTTATAATTTTTTTTTATTATGCAATAGGAAGAAAGTGTGCATTAGTTATTACAGGACAAGCGAATCCTTCACTATGGAATGTTCCTAATAATCACAGGATCAATTAGATTGTCTCCTCTATAACCTTAGTTCATTAGAACAATGGCACGTTGATAGGTAAAGGTTCGCCACCCCTGGACATTAACAATGCACAAACTTTAAGGTTCCCACACACACAACCAGCAGTTATTTGGCTAGTGCTGGCAACACTTAATATTTGTCCTAAATATCATTAAAAAGTGACAGATTAATAATTCAAGAGGTATTTTTTTACTTTTAACGACATGGAAATGTGTGCGTGTGCCATTACAAACATTCGTGACATTTAAAGTATACTAATAAATTGTGCAAATTAAATTGTCACCTAATAACGGATGCAGATAAACAAGTTAAAAGATTTAGCAAAAAATTTCACTGACTCGTGTAACGTATGACTTTAAAAAAAATATATAAAAATCCACCTTTTAATGATGTTATAAGCCTTCTCTGTAACACGTTTACCCTACATTCTGTAAAAGCGTTATAGCGCGGCAGTGATAGCGCGACTCATTTGTTTAAGTAAACTGACTGATAAGCCGGTGTAAACAGTGACCAAACTTTATCATTGATAGTGATAAACGAACGCTCCGTCCTCACGTACGCTCAACAATTAACAGTGCCGTTTAAAAACTTAGAGCCAGCCTCTTCTGTACTAGACATTTCAATCTTTGTGATAACCTGCAAATTCATATCGACCCGTCCGATGAAAAGAGTTACATAAAAGATATTTTCTATCAGATCTCAGTAGAGATGAATCTTTTTACTTCGGATAGGACCTATCCGATAGGTCAACATGCATGCAGGACCGTGTCATATGGGCCAACTACGAGTGGAGGAAAGCGTTCGAAAGGGTGTGCTCCCTTTCAATCCACCGATGTATGTATGGAGATATATCTTACCTTGAGGGCGACGAGCAATGTGACTGTCTCGACGCTGTAGTAGCCACGGTCCACGTAATCACCCATGAACAGGTAGTTGGTGTCGGGCGAGCGGCCGCCGATGCGGAACAGCTCCATCAAATCGTGGAACTGACCGTGCACGTCGCCGCATACAGTCACTGGGCATTTTACTTCTTGCACATTTGACTCCTTCGTTAAGATCTCTTTCGCCTGCGAAAAAAGATATACAATATTACACAGTGTCACAACATTGATACCGAAGTATTTCAAAACATTACGTAGGGCTTACTAAGATTCTGATTCTGACCTAACTTTAGTCGTCGGTAGATTGCCATTTAATTTTTAAAAAAAGATATTCATGAAATAAGTTACACTACTACGTTCGCGGCGAATTAATAGAAAACGTTAGGTAGCCCATGCACAGTTCCAGTCATTTACAGATCTGTATTTCATTCTATGTTCTTCTATATTATTTTATTATGATGGAAATCAATATTAATTACATTTACATTCAAATGTAAACACATTCTTAGCATCTTGATATAAAAGATGCGGTTACGTGAAATGTTAGAAATTATACTTTATTATTGTATTGCCTGTTCAATTATTACGTAATGGAAACAAGACATTTTACATTTAAGTGATAGGTTACATCTATGCTACCTTTGACTGCTGACATCGAAACTATTTTCACGTAGTCGCTAATTATTTGACATAACAATCAAGTACATTGTATTATTTGTCTGGTTAACTATTCTGTTAATATTTAAAAATAATTTAAAAATTATTTAATAAATAATGGCGTTTAAATCTCTAGTACTATGTATATCAATATGAGTGCAGAGTTAGGATAGGGAAACTGCAACAGTTTGATAGAAATGCAACACGAACGAATACCTACGAGTTTGTTTTGCTCACGTGTTTGGATCTACCGTCGGCAATTGTTTAGAATGTGTGTTCGTTTGTTATGAGTTGACAAGAAAGAATAGAAATTACGTTACCACCGAAAGGAGGTTCGGACACGAAATTGAGATCATTTGCTTTGCTTATTAATTTAACATTATGTTAACAGCTAATACTCTTTTTGCATCCATACTCTAAGTTCAAATTATTGGTACTAAAGGAAATCCTTAGTGTAGAATTATTACGAGAAATCTATTAATATTGGACCGCTTAAATCACAAAGTACTCCGTCTAGTCGAAATAAGTTATTAAATGACAATGATTTTAAACTGTTAGAAGTTATAATCTGTTTTTATCGATTTATATATAAGAATTACATTAAAGTTTAGAATAGCATATTAATATTAGACGATATAACGTGGCAAACGGCACGGGAAGCAGGTCAGACGGTGCAATAAAAGGAAAAGCACCTCAGCCTATAAATATTCCCCACACAACAGGATACTGTGCACTACGGTTCTCACATTTGCAATGGCAGCGAATTGACATTATAACACACTAGCTGTGCCCGCGACTCCTTTCGCGTGGTTGTCAAAAACACTATAGCGATTATCTTTTGATAGCATTTTTCTTCGCTCCTATTGGTCGCAACGTAATGTTATATAGCCTAAAGCCTACCTCTATCCAACAAAACAAGATTTTTTCAAATCGGACCAGTAGTTCCTGAGATTAGCGCATTTAAACAAACAAACAAACTCTTCCGCTTTATAATGTTAGTATAGTATAGATGACGGACACCATATTAACAATTATAGTTTATAGTTAAAGAATTTAATTTACTTCCCACTTAGAATAAAATTCTGTGACTACATTAATACAAGTGTAATGGCAGTAGAATTGTCGCTATGCAAGTTTTCGATATTTGCAGTGTGACAATTGACATATTAACAAAATGGATAGTAAATATATGTCTCTAAAGATGGTACACGTAATGAATGCAATATTTATTATTATGAATAGCAAAGGTTTGTTCTAAGTAAACTTATAATAGTTTACAATGTGAATTCTTTCACCATTCTAACATAAATATATATTTTTATTATCACTCCATAAAACTTAGTAAATCATGTGTTTAACGTTTAAGTATTATGTAATAAAAGTACTTAAGCTGTCTTAAATGCATATTTTTAGTGTAACATAATTATATCAGACAGTTTTTCACATCATTATACGATGTAGCTTTATATAGACAAAAACGAAAGTGAGCACGTACTCTTTTATATGCTCATTAAAGTTACGTTTTGTCTATTCATCTGTACAACTTTAAAATTTAAAATAACTTGTTTGGTAACTAATACATGTACAGTCAAAGGCAAAACTCATTTGCGTTAATTAAAATTAAAAACAAAAATTCACAATGATTGAAAAAAATATATAAAATGTTCTCATACAAATAAGCAGCAAGACGACTTTACATACGAAAATTAAAAAAAAAATTGGGAAATGAAACGCGGCGTGAGAAAAAGATGACTTGATAATTATTACCTCTGCTCGAATTAGGATAATTACTCTCCTAGAGTCTAATTAGGATAAATTTATTAGGGCAGCGGTTCTCAAACTTTTTTCTCGATTATCAAACTACCTAACTCTCTTGTCTATGTAAGGTTACTTAGGATAATCAAATACCGATTTATTGCTTATGCTTATTATATTATTCATTATACTATTTTATATTTCTTAGGTAGTAAGCTTATTGTAATCTTTTTAGTATTTCATTTCTTGTGGTCTAAGCGCAGTGCAGTAAACTTTGAGTACAACTGTATTATGGTAATAAAAGCATTTAGCTAGTCACAACCGCTGACGTGTGTGACGCACGTGGACCGCGATGTGTGGGGCGCCTCAATGTTAAACATTCGCCAACATTTAGTCTGTGCACATTTCACGATTGTTTAAGACATCGATTCGTAAAATACATTCAAATCGACTTCTTCGAAGGACGTTGTAATTTTTCGGCTGTTTTGTTATTTTAAACATTTTTTGTAGTGAGATTACTCTATGGTTTTGTTATATCTGTGGCTATTTAGTAAAATTATTGTATTTACAATATGGATTTAGATTTATATTTCCTAATGAGGAGCCAAATTAAAGTACTTGAAGCCAAGTTGGTTTTACGCCACTTCAATTTGGCGGTAAAATTATACAGAAAAACTTACTGATATTATTACGACACTAGTGCATTGGTTTAAAATATTACTTACCGTGGGTTTCTGAGACCGAAATCTTCGTTTAAAACATATTGTTATCTCTGTTTTATCAAAGATAATGACAAGGATGACAATACATTTACAGCGATTTTAGTCTTAGAAACCAACTGTAAGTTAAAGTGAAAAATATAATTGACAATTGTACGACATGTTAGGACATTTATGACAGTATAACAAAAATAGCAACGTTCTTGACCTAAAACACGAAAGAGGCAAGACTTAAGCTTCCGAATGCACACCACCACAAGTGTTTTTGAGGAAATTCAACAGTATAAATAATTCGTAAGTCGAGGTAACAGTAAAAAAATATTAAATTGCTTACAATATTTTAAAAAAATTGTTATGTTAAAAATTATATTATTTACCATACAGATTTTAAACAATAAAATAAGGGCATTAATCATTTTGATTAACCATTTTATATCATTCTAGCTACCTTCTGCTCATTAATTCTTGCACATTTCTACAATATTGACAATATGCCTTAGAGCACAATTTTCTCGATGTCAGAAAACTTTGTTTCTTTGACATTGACAAAGTCAACGTAATGTATGAGAATAGACAAATCGTGCCGTGAATATTATTTAAAACAGGAAACATGTAATACAGTGTAGTATCATTAAAAATCGACAATTCAATAAATAAAAAGTAAAAAACAATCTGACAATAATTAACCTTATGTTAATGCAATAAAGTACACAACACATTATCAAGTACTCATTAATGCATGTTGCCGAACGTGACTGATAAACTAGCATTTGTTTTTTTTTTATTATCAACTAGTGCTTTGGCCTACTAGCAAAAATAGGAAGAGATTTATAAACGTAGGTAACGACTGTCAAAACACTCTTACAAAGCTCCCTCTGTTTTTTGGAAAAATCGAGATAATCGGCTGTGACTGTAGATTATCTTAGCAAATATCATATTATTACTAAATTAATTAAATTAAATTTAGTATTAAATAAAACACTTAAAGCTTCGTGCATGTAAGTACACTTCAATAAAGCTGACAGGAATAGAATTCGAAACTGGTTTCAACCCTTCCAGGAATCGTTGTGGCGTAAGCGCGTTCTTCCATTGTCCTACATCAATAGCGGCGTTAGTAGAAAACCCTAGGTAGGCTGTATGTAGTTTAGTGATAGAACAAAGGAAGAATATTAGACGCCCTTTTTAGGAAAAAAACTATAAAGGTCTGATCAGAATTATTGAGTACAAGCCGAAAACATGTTAGTTAAAAAAGTACTAAGTAAAAACTATATTAAAATATTATATTAAACCGAAAACAACATAAAATTTCCCTTTCGTACAAACAGGTCTGCAAAAAATCCTCGTCCGCAGGGACAGGTAACAGGTCCAAAAAAAAAACAATGGGCATAATATAAATAGTGAACGGATTCAACTGTCCTCTGTGAACGCTTTCACGTTCCCAGACTCCATAGACAGCGATGTAAATAAAAATGGCGGTGAAATATGGTGGCCAAAAAGCGCGCCAAAACTAATGAAATATCTTACATTAATTGCATTTCTAATTTTCTTCTTTAGATATACGCTTATGAAAATTAACATTTATAACCTTTTGCTATTTACAACTTGTGCATTCAGTTGGGTTAGACATATTTCGGCTATTCTAGCTTATAATGTCTAATTAGACATTTGTTGAGTCTAATAATCACGCGCTTGTGACACAGAGGAGTGGCTATATAGGATTTCTATTTTAAATATACTATTATATACAATTAATCAAATTGGAATATTATTTTCCTATCTATCTACCGCATTTATTTTGCGTAATCTTCGAAATGACTGATTTCCGATTTTGACGTGACTTTTTTTTGGAAGGTATCTTAGATTTGCAGGTGTAACTTAGCCTTTTTTATTATGCACTTACGAAGTCGTGGGCAGTAGGGTAATTAAATTATAAATTAACCACATGTATTTCAATTGTTAATATATTCAGGACAGTTTTGTGCAAACACATCCTGTGAGATAAGTCTGTGTGTCTGACATTTGATATCATATTATGACGATGGTGAAAAAAGTGTACACACAGAGGAAAATATTTATGTTTATAAGTGATAAAGTTACTGATCTATCCATAATATAAAAAATAGTTTCAAATTATAACAATTGTCTACTCTCTTTAAATATAACACCGTAATTTTTCATTCTAATGTACTTTTAAGTCTTAAAGAGAAATAATGCTTTTGTTAAACAAAATAATTTCGCTGCAATGAACCGTAGTGTTGAAAAAACACGCAACTACGAGAGGAAGGGGTTGGGGGATATCAATGAACTTTCAAGACACTTTGTAACCTATTTATGATAGCGTGCGTTTCCACAGCCGAAATCTTGCTTATTACAAATGCGAATATTTGGATGGATGGATGGATGTGTGAAGGTAAATCCAAAACGGCTGAATGGATCTCGCTTGAATTTGTTAAAAATCTAATTAGTATCCTATGCTACTAAGTTTTTTTTTAATACCGCGCGGACGGAGACGCGGGCGACATTTAGTACTTATATAAAACATAGATGTTTAAAATTTAAATCGTCAGAAATAGAGCCGTTCTAAATTATAAAGAAATACACAAGTACTATATATTGCGGACAATGTACTATCAAAGACTAACAAATTAGGCGTAAAATGTAAACAAGCCACCCGTTGAGGTTAACGAAATAATACAGCCATCGGAATTCTATCTTGAAATCAGCCAGATCTTACGCAAGGCGGGGTTTTTAACCCGCCCGCTGTGTAAAAATTCATAGACTTTCGCCCGCGCTATCCGTAAGCAAAATCGTTATAAATAATCGATTAGATAACTCGATAAAATAATAATTCACCACAACAATTTACAAAGAATTAATTGCTTTATTTCATTCATGACAAAGAGTTAAAAAAAATGTTGATTTCGTTACCTTATATTGCAGGGAATGGATTTAAAATCTACGAAAGTAGGTTATTCTTAAGTTAATAGCTAATTTAATGGGTTAAAAGTTACGTTTAAGGTACGGTCAACAAAAACTTTTCAAATATTATAATATGTCCTCTATTGTGAGTTTGTGATTGTCAAAATTCCTGAATTGTCCTTTAAATAATTAAAATGATACAAATGTAAATACGTTTGCATTACAAAGGCAACGATCAGTATACTCAACTATAGTAGATCGACCTTGGCGCCGGCGCATGTTAAATCGATAAATTTCTAGTGACCAGTTCAACTTGTTTGCTCTGCATCAAAGATGTTCAACATCACTTTGTCAAACTTTGAGAGATTTGCAAATTTATTTTTTACTATTTAATATAATGTGAATATATTCAGTTATTTGTACAAAATTCTACATGTTGAAACCTGTAAAAAGTATATAACAATCAAACCTACTTTGTGAATTTAATATGTGACAATAAGCTTTCTATGCAAACTATTTTTAATCATAATTTCACCAACAATTATAATACTATGATTTCCTAAAGCATCTATTTCAACTGTTTTAAGTTTATTCTGATCACCTTTTTTGTAGTTGTGTTGTTGTAGTTGTAAAATAGTAAATATGTATTTACAAGAAGTAAGAACTTGATTACATTGAGGTTATAAAGAAACATTGCATACATGCATTTTTAAATCTTACTTCTTATTAATCTTACTAATATTATAAATGTGTTTAGATGAATGGATGGATGTTTGTTTAAAGGTATCTCAAAAACGACTGCATGGATCTCACTGAAATTTAACATAGATGTAAAACATAATCTGGAAGAACACATAGGCTACTAGTTAAGTTTTTTTTTAATTCCGCGCGGATGGAGTCCCAGGTGACAGCAAGTGTTTAATATAATTCCTCAACTCTTCATGTTCATTGGATTCTTATGTACCTACAGTATGCCTACTCAATGCTAACTTAAATGGGTAATATTACTATTACTTACGTTACATGTATTTTGATACTAAGTTTACATAATTATCAGTGCATGAACTGACTTAATCAATGTAAACCACTTACTACAATTTACATTTTGAACACAAGTACAAAATTTACATATATTTAAAAGGACAATAACTACATAACTCATGCCATTGAACCAAAGAGGTGGGAGAGATCAAGGATATTCCTTACATGTATGTTCGTCAATTTTGAGTATGTAATCTTAGTGCCACATCTCTATTATTATTTTAAAGTAGCTGTTGCCTGCGATTTCGCCCGCGCAGAATTTTAAAACACTAACTAGTAGGCTATGTGTTCCTTAAGTCTATGTTCTACATATATGCTAAATTTCAGTGAGATCTATTTAGCCGTTCTGGAGATAGCTTTTAAGTAACATCCATCCATAGATCTAAACTTTTGTATTTATATTATTAGTAAGATATTGTATCAATTATATCCACATATACATGCAGGTCACCACTAATTGAATATATAGGATACACATAAAAACCTTAAAATTAAAGGCTAAATTCTGATGTTTCTATTTCAACACTTGCATGACTATAATGTAAATATACAGAACTGACTAAACTTAATGACTAAGAATACATGCAAAAGCAACATACTGTAGACAATAAAAAACTTTAACAAACCTTACTTTATTTTATTTATCAAATTAACAAACATAATAAATTATAAAACATTAAACAAGTAAATAGCAAAAAAGTGATTATTGCTTTTGTATTACTACAGTATGTCTCTTTCATGTAAGTTAATTGGTTTTTGATACTAAGAATAGTCACTGACAAATTTTTATTATTGTTATTCAAAAATATAGTTGGTACATATTCACCTTACATCACAGATTAAAACAAACCACTTGCAGCCAAAATATGATGTTATTCAAATATTTATAATAATCACTAAATGTTAAGGTATATAATCTTGATAATAAAAACAAAGTTAATGTTTTATCCAAAACATTAACAAATATGAGTCATAATAGTTTTTATCAGGCTTGATGAGTTAACAAGACAAAAAGGTTATTCCAGTTTATGTCCAATTGAAGAAAACAAAAACTGTATTTAATATCATAATTTATATAGTTATGGCGATATTATTTATTGATTTAACTAATTTCCGTCCAAATCTAAAAATATACGTTGATTAATTAGTTCGAATTGGAAAATATTATTAAATCAATGTTTTTTTTTTAATATAATGGAATGCAGTCGTCAATGTGACGCCGGCACATAATAGCTCACTACTACCCTCGAAGAGTAACGATTACGGTGAGACCGACCAGCTTCGACTACTAACCACTACATACGCGTTCTCGATTCTCTACTATGTAGGTATAATGAATCACACAACATAGGCATAACTAGACATCAACCTATCGGACATATTACATACTTGTTACTAAATTGAAAAATAATCTATTGACATAAATGAAACGTTAATGTAAAGCTTCCTTACCTTATCGCATAGGGTTTTCACTTGATTTTCTGTCAATTGCTTGCATTCATTTAGTTGTTCAATCCATTGATCTAATTCTTTTAATGACGCCTTGTCCTCCATACTGTCAGTCTGTGAAATTAACGTACGAGACGTTAACTTAGTTTGGTAATGGTTTTAACTTTTTAACGTACACAAAACCATGCGAATTTTGTAATTTTCACTGCGCCCAGAAATACTGACTTGAGCAGACACAAAATGGCGTAGGTACCACTTGCGTGACGTCAATTTGATTCAAAAGAACGACGTCCCCCAGCGGAAATCACAGGTACTACAAGCTGATGCTATTCAAAGATGTATTCATTTTTAAAAAAAGTTTTTCTCGTTTATTTTGATTATGATTGAATAAAAGCATAACTGTATAATAGAATTATTTTGAATATTACAAACTAATTTTTTAATTTACAATAATTGAACCTTTAATAAAGAAATAATGCATTCCGTTTACGGGTACGGATGCGTTCAAGAATGATCTGTCTAAAGAAAAGATGAAAGTGATAGCTTAAACAAAACATGTCCCCTTTTTATAAAAATAACCGTTTTTTTTAAATTTATATTGTTTTTCGATATTTTAAAAATGATTAAATACACTTACTTTTAAAATAATTGATGGAGAAATCTTGGTTTTTCCTAAGAGATGTGTATCAACGTGTAACTCCATTACAACAATAGTGTATTCGCATGCAAAATTAAACAATGTCAACAAAAATTTAATGTTAATAAAACAAATTGTAAATTATTTTATTATTAACCATTTTATACTTATCGCAATTTAAATTGTAATTACAATGTGCGAAAACGTCAGTACTTTAATATGATTTAATTATGTGCGTTCTAAAACACTTTGTGTGGACATGACATTTAAATTCGAATAAAAAATTAAAATTATTTAGATTATTTAAACATCCAAAATAACATTCATCTCAAAATTATTTGAGTTTTCACCAATTTGTAAAACCATTATACTACTGGTGTAAAAAATAAAATTTGCTAAATTTTATAAAATTATAATAAATATCAGTTTTGAATAATTTAATAATAATATAGAGTCCAGTATAAATCAAAACTTTTGCAAGCCAAATTAGGTGAGTAGGTAAATTAATTTAAAATGTTTTGAAATCCTGTAAATCACATTGGCAATGGCTACTGGCAACACAACAAAGTCATATATTTCCGATTGTACGAAACCATATCCTTTTCTTTTGCAACTTGGTGTGTGAAGTGGTCGGTTGATCGTTCTCGGTGAAACATGACGGAAACCCTCAAACTTAGGGGCACCCTGTGTGGTCACAATGGCTGGGTTACGCAAATTGCGACAAACCCAAAATACCCTGATATGATTTTGTCATCTTCACGAGGTAAGCTATCAACATGTATCATTTTACTTTTTAAAATCTAAAATAATCATATGGAACATGCGATTGTTCACAAGTATAAACTGTTACAACTCATCTAAACAGGTTACCGGGTATAGTTCGCGTTATATTTCTTTATTTTATTGAATTCTATGATGACAAAAATCTTTGCCACGTGACGCCTGATCGGCAAGCGGATATGGGGCTGAAAATGTCAACAACAATCAGTTATTATTTATGTTTTATAGTGAAGCTAAACCCCTTTCTTTGTTTTAGACAAAACTCTTATCGTTTGGAAACTGACAAGAGACGAAACTAATTACGGTGTTCCTCAAAAGCGTCTGTACGGACACTCTCACTTTATCTCGGATGTCGTACTCTCCAGTGATGGAAACTATGCTCTTTCTGGTTCATGGGACAAAACTCTTCGTCTGTGGGATCTCGCTGCGGGCAAGACCACCAGGCGTTTCGAAGATCATACTAAGGTGTGACAGAACTTATAATTTGATAGGGTTAGGTGCCTATAAAGGCAAGTGCTAGCGCCTATACGAGGCAGAAGACTAAGTGTTTGTGCCTTTGCGAGGCAGAAGATTATAGAGCTAAGTGGCATGCACCAGGGCTATCCCTTGTAAGTAAAGTCATGTAAGCTCTTAAAAGTAATTTTCTTTGCAAATATTTACAATACACTTATTAGTAGACATAATTTATTTTAGCCTTTTTTCTTGGGTTTTTTTTATTTATTATATAATTGTAATATGTAATATATCAAATTATAATTTCTTAGGCACTTCTTTAAAACTTGATTTTGGTTTAGGATGTCCTCTCAGTGGCTTTCTCTGTAGACAACAGACAAATTGTGTCTGGGTCTCGAGACAAAACCATCAAGCTGTGGAACACATTGGCTGAGTGCAAGTACACCATTCAAGATGACGGCCACACTGACTGGGTTTCATGTGTCCGCTTCTCACCAAACCATGCCAACCCTATCATTGTGTCTGCGGGCTGGGACCGCACAGTAAAGGTAATAAGTCAAATTTGAATGATTAAATGGTAACTACAAATATATGGAAACAAAAGATGTTTGTGTTAGCTCATTTAGTTTGTTAATTTTATATTGTTAATTATATAATTTATTTTTACTATCTAGGTTTGGCATTTGACTAACTGCAAACTGAAGATCAACCACCTTGGCCACTCTGGATACCTAAACACTGTGACTGTCTCCCCTGATGGCTCACTCTGTGCATCTGGTGGCAAGGACATGAAGGCTATGCTGTGGGATCTCAATGATGGCAAACACTTGCACACCCTTGACCATAATGACATCATCACAGCCCTTTGCTTCTCGCCAAACAGATACTGGCTCTGCGCTGCCTTTGGGCCATCAATCAAGATTTGGGTAAGTTACTTTTAGTTCAAAACAGCTGTACTATTTATTAACATAGTCAAAATGATATCGCATCCTTTACTAGAAGAAATCTCTACTAAAATACTATTTTAGGGTAAAGTAACACATGTAATGTTGTTAATAATTATAAATTGAATCTTTCACAGGACTTGGAAAGCAAGGAAATGGTTGAGGAGCTCAGACCTGAAATCATCAACCAAGCTCAAAATGCCAAGGCTGATCCTCCGCAGTGCCTGTCCCTTGCATGGTCCACTGATGGCCAGACTTTGTTTGCGGGATACTCTGACAACATCATCCGAGTCTGGCAGGTGTCAGTCTCAGCACGATAAGAAGAGGATGAAACTGATTTCATTTATTTTTGTACATCCGAAAATATTTCTTTTCAATGACTGAGGTGTAAGAATAAATGGAGTTGTCTTCATAAATAATTCAGCGTTTTTTTTATGATCTCTAGATAAGTCTATTGTATGTTGAATTCCATGTGTATTTTTGTACATTGCTGTATAGCTTTTATTATGTAAATAAAGTAATTTTAATTTCTATAGAAGCAATTATTCCCTACATGTTCAGAGACCCCTATTGACATGAAACTATCAGATAGTAGGTATTGAATTTTAAAGTAAGTTCTGTTAGTAAATTCCACACAACTTTTCAGTTTATATCGGGTAGAAAGTAGAACAGAGGAGTATGTTGCTTTAAAGGTTTGTAGAAACATGGGATTAATTTCATGCCTTATTACCCAAGCAAGTCAATTATTGTTACTTATGCTGTACAACTTTGAAGACTAACTATTAAAGTTTCCCTACATATATACCATGCAATAATTACTGTCCAAAATTTGGTAATTTAAATTACTGCTTCTATGGTAAAGTTCCTCATTACATCCCTAACAAAATGGTCTGAACCAAAAAGTATATAGAACTACAAGAAATGATAAATTCAATTGTCAAAGCAATTAACTTATTTCTTTGAGAAAACAAAAGGTCACAGTTGATCCACAGGTTTTTTGCCACTTAATGGAATAGCACTTTTTTCTCTGTAATTACATATGTAGTAACTGTTTTTACAACCTTCACTTGTAACAATTATTAATTGTTACATAAAAATTTACATTGGTATAAAAAAAAGTTTTATTATCAGTACTTCTCTATCAAAGCTATAATATTGTAACACTGTTGTGCAACAAAGAGCATATTATAATGTAAATTTTTTTGTAAGTTGGCAAGTAACACAAAATTTACAATTCTTTTGTCAATGTGAAGGAGTTAAGTGAGTAATGTACAGATATTCTAGTCAGTTAAGACTGGGGCAAAGGTCAAAACAAACACAAAGTAATAGAACATTGTATAATAAAAATATTCAATAAAAACATCCTTATTCTCTTAAAAATAAATATTTTACCTTATTCTTATTAAATAAGAAAAATATTTTCTTTTATCTTTTCTATTAAAATAATGAGAGCCTTGCAACCAAACCCAATAATGGATCTTTAATATTAATCATTGTACAATTTTCATTAAAAATTCAGATCAAGGGAATAGATTCATTTTTGTTATATTCAATTTTCTTACAAAATTAAACGGAATGTTAAAATACTATTACAAAGTAACTGTTTAGAAATTATGTTAGGCTGAGTTTCCACTGTTGCGACTTATATTGTTAGAAACATAAAGGAATAAAATATTTTTGTATGACTGCCTGAGCAGTGGAAATTCATTTATATTTAAATATTGAGACATAAAGTGTCTTTATATCTATGTAGATAGCTGCTTCAAGTACTCTTGTTATGTGAAAAAATAGAAAACTATCATTACTTATGCAATTAAAGTTCAAGTTATAATATTTTTAAATGACAATATTAATTAAGTTTACCACATTAAATTGCCCATAGTTTTAATAAATAATTTGTAAAAATATGAACCTCTTTCAACCTGTAACCACAAATATAAGTTTATAAATATACTTTAAAATTATTCAGTTTACATTTAAAGGATTCCCTTTCTTGTCTAGCAAATGTGATGTAACAACTTCTGGTCCTTTGCCAACCTTTGTGTGAATGACATATTTGATTATGTCCTTTGCTTGTGGCTGTATAGGGAATGAATTTAAAAATTTACAATCACCACCATCTACATCACCTAGTCCAATAACAAAATCAAGATTGGATGTTGGGAACAAATGTTTAATTAGATTTAAAACTGTAGGAACTTCTTTGTCTAGAAGATATAAACATGCGTTAGGACCAGCATCAAAGGTATATGCCACTTTCAATTCTCCACACATATCATTGTAAGCATGAATTATTTCAACAATTTTGTGTGAGACATCTGTCATATAAACACAAGGGGGATAGGTATCAAGACAGACAGCATGGAATTGATTGCTGTCTTTCATTGTCAATTCAGCAAATTTAGTGAAATCTTTCTTCAAAATTGCTTCACTTATCTCTTCAGTTCTTCTTGGTACACTATATTTAGCACGGTACTTCAATAAATCTGATGTATTCACACTATTCATCATACCAATTGTAGAACTTGTATGTTTTTTAATATCTGACACAACGAGTATCAAGGCCTTCATTTCTGGCCAGTGTGTAGAATCTGCAATCTGTGTTGCTATGGAGTCACTACCATCAGCATTAACACCAGCATGCCAACGCACGAAACCACCGAAAACGCTTCTACAAGCACTTCCTGATCCTATTCTTGCCAAAACACTGACATCCGTTTTTATTTTATAAAGCTTAGCAAGAGCAGTTACCAAGCAAGCATAACCCGCTGCCGAGGACGCCAAACCCGCCGCAGTTGGAAAATTATTTTCCGAACAAACACGAACTTTCCAAGTGAGAACAGCATTATCAACACTTCTTTGAGTGGCAGCTATATTTTTAATTTTGTCCAAGACATTCACGAGACGTGGATTTGAGAATGATGTCTTGACTCCGTTTAGCCAAATTTCATTTTCTGTAAATTCCGGCCCGAAACACACTGAAGTTTTTGCACACATAATACTCGTATCTAGAGTAACACTTACGGAATCATTAATCGGTAAAATTAGTTTCTCATCACGTTTACCCCAGTATTTTATAACGGCAATGTTAACAGGAGCGATTACAGTAACGCAATCCATTTCATCCATGGTAAAATATAAGTTAATAAAAACGTAATGGCTAGCGAGCTAGACTAAAATTGTACACGCACAAATGGAATGGAGGACTGGAAACAACTGTAAAATGAAAATGAAAAACAATCCCGCCAAACTAGGCAGACAGTGAAATGACAAAATGACAGTGACAAACTGCTGACAATGACAATTAAACGTGTTCAGACATTGTTGCTTTTAGTCTTTGTACACAAATTAATCGGAAGACTACTCTTTGGGAAGATCCTCAAATCCTTAAGGAGGTTGTACATAATTTAACATTTAGTCTGACAGTAAAATATATTATTAAAGTTAACTTAACACTGTAGTTTAATTGAGTCTACTGTGTTTTAAACACTAAATAGTGAAATACAGTAGTGGGATTAAAATCTCAAAAATAACTCAATAAGAGCGATTTTCTCGGGCTTCTCTAAAATACTTTATCTAAAATTGCTTGTCCTCTTATACAGTAATATGCATTCAGTAGTAATTTTTTTAAAACCCACGAAGCTTTATATATTTATATTAAACTAAAAAGAAAATAAATTGAGAAGATGTACTCATTTTTAGTACTCATATAACAAAGAGTATATAAAATATACACTCATATATCGTGAGCTGTTTAATAATAAAATAAAACGCATTATGTTAAAACAAAAACAAATGAAGAAGTTGTACGAAAAATAAATTATTACTTCTGCAAATAAATTACAATTTTAAAAAGTGTCACTATTAATTGGTATTTTTCGTGAAATATGGTTTGCTTGCTTACTTGGGACTGCCCTATTCCAGTGTTGTCAGATTTCTCCGTAGATTTTTAAGTTTAAGATATCAACGCTGCCATTTTCGTTTTGTGGCACGGTTATAGCGGCAGTCAAATTAATGGACTGTTAGATATACGGAATTTCTGTCTATTTGTATGATTAGTGGTATAAACATTGTTATATTGTGTGTTTTTGGTCAAACGGAATATCAAGAACGCAGTTCAGTGTATTCAATAAGTCGAGTAATTGTTGACTTCCTTGGGTGGAACGGGTGAGTGTACTACTTCATAATACATTTAACTTATTAACAGTATTTCAGTTTATTATAAGCTTTATAAACATGTTATGTGTGAGGTCACTTCAATTCAATTCCAGTACTTGTTCTAATACTGTTAATACGGGAAAAATAGCAGTCTTAAATTTGATTGTTAAAATGGGCGTAGTGAATGTGATGAATACGATGGTTTATCATTCATAATATCATTGTTGTTCGTGTGATATTTTTTAATTGACCAAAGTTTAATTAGCACGCTATTACATTAATTTTGGAAAATATGACAAGTAGTGACATTCCTAATTGTTTAGTTTTTTATACCATCTTATAAGAAACAAAAATAAACAATTCCAATTTTAAATATCTAGCATTATAAGCCAAGTTGTATGTATCTTTAATTGTAAGTGGTCTATCATATAATGTTATATACCAATGAAGAGAATTAAGTGCACTCAAAATCAACAAACATGTATAGATAGATATATGGATGTTGAAGAGGTAAAAGATGTGTGCCACTACTGTGCCTATCAGAATTTGTAAACTTTAACCCTCATGGAAGTATGGGCACTGAAATGACAGAAAAGAGATCCAATGCCAGAGCTCTTTCAATCTGTTCCAACAAATGTTTTGCAAGGCAGTGTCAAACAATTGAATTTGTTAGACTATAGAGTACTAGCTGTCAACCGCAACTCTGTCTTTGTAGAATTTAAAAACTCAATAAGTACTATGTGTTCTTACAGACTATGTCCTATGTCTATGTTAAATTTCAGTGAGATCTGTTGAGTGGTTTCAAGGATACCTTCAAACAAACATCCATACATTCATCCATTTAAAAATTTGCATTTATAATATTAGTAAGATGACACTCCTAATGTTAAAGCTTAATACCAAACTAATATTTATCGACCTCTAAACACAGCTATTTAACCTTGGATGTGTTCTGTTTTGTAGTAATTTATTTACTGTAAAAATCAACAAACCATACAGCCTTTTAATGCAAGATCAATAAAAAGATTAATAAACTTAGGTTAAATATAACTGAGATATATCTTTACACTGGAAAAATAGAAATTTGCATTTAAGGCATAAAAGGATGAATAAAGAAAAACTAACTACTAAACTAATAAAGTGATATTGTTACGAGAGACTAAATGTTGTCATTGTGATGATAACAAAAGAAACTATTTGAGGTATCCTAATTAAACTGAAAGTATACTTTTATATATGAATTTAGTTAAATTACAATCTTTTTTTATCTTTGGCATGGTTGATGTAAATCATACTTAATATAATAAATCCCAATGTTTGGATGGATGTTTGTTTGTAGGAATCTCCCGAGCGGTTGCATGGATCTCGCTGAAATTTGGCATAGATGTAAAACATAGCCTGGAATAACACATGGGCTATTATTATTATATTTTCTTAATGAATTCACAAAAATCCTATCCCATTTTACTCTGATCTTTGTAGATTTCTAATGGCAAAAGAATTTTGGAAATTGGGCAAGTAGTTTTTGAGTTTGTATGTTACATACAAAATACAATTTTTTCAATACCCTTTTAAAATGTTAGTATAGATGTATTATTTAGAATCTCATGAACATTAAATATATTAGCAATTCCGTTGACCCTGTTTGTTATAGAACAACGTGACAGGTCAATGATGTATGAAATGCATGACCGGTCTAATACTGCAAGGCTTTTAGTTATTCAAGAGATTGCATAGGTAACAGTTGAAAAACTAGGCTTTATCTAGATACGACTAAACGCAACGAGACGCCTCCGGAAATCGTTAGTTTCTACTCGCGTATTGTTGCGAATGAATGAGAAGTTCGGATTTTTATACTCTAAACAAAACAAATATCTGGTAACCATGTTGTTTAATTCTCCAATGTAAATATCATCCTTTCACTCTACATCTTAATGAGCCCCTTTTTCTGGACTGATTGCATCAAAGGTCATTGCACAAGATATGTCCAGAATTTTGACTAAAAGTTTCTCTAAATGGTTACGAGTTTAAGTAACTTTGTGAAATTTAATGAAAATTTTCGAAAAGTTGTCATTGTCTATGGTACTTATATGCATATAAACTATTTTTAAATTATTCCTTGTTTATATTTTTTAATTAAATTCACCTTCACTTTTCAAACAACAGGCGGCAATTTCATACTACATTACCCAGTCTTGATTGTAGAAACTGAACTTTACGGTGTTGTAAATAAGAATCATTTTATTATCGAATGTTAAAAAACATGTCATTTATTATCTTTGAGTACGTAATCGCCTCTAGCACCATTTAAAATGGGGACTATGACTAATAAGACTATTTTGCAGCACCTAAATATGTACTTATATTTTTATTCGCATTTTGAAGTTTACTAAATAGCGGTTCATCGTAATCAACCTGTAACATATTATAGACCTCTAGTCGTATAGTCAAAGAGTAATTGCAGAATTTTATTATGACTTAAATGTTAGTTAAAACATATTTAGGTTATTTCTTGACTAAAATGTTCCATATGAGCCGACCCAAATCCAAAAAGCTTTAATCAAGTTTCTATTCTTCGTGTCCCACTGCGCTATTTCAACAAAGATCTCACACTAGGTCGGCCGACCTCACTAGGCCTAGTGTTAGTAGTAGTAACAATCGGATGTTATCCAAGTTGAATAAATGAAATATACATAATATTTAAATATCAGGTTTGTCATTAACACAATAGACATACAGACAATTATATTACAGTCTGACAAAGTTATCTGGCCCGGTGGGCGTAAGTCAAACTTAATTATCATATTAGTTAACTATGAACACAAATCTCTTGGTAACATTAATAGGACCGATATTCAGACGTTTTACTGTACTCCATCTCAACATTGTACTTTGGGGCAATATAAATTTTCCTTGTGCCTGTTTCCTCATGTATATTTTGTAATCACTCGTATATGAATGTACGTGTTGTCGCCCGCGACTTCGTCTGCGCTGAATTAAAAAAAAAGGTTGGAAAGTACCGCATGTGTTATTCGAGACTATGTTCTTTCTGAGTCGAATTATAATAAGATGCTGTGAATCGTTGCGTAGGTATCCAATAAATATATTTATTTTATTATTTATTATTTATAATTATATATAATTCAAACGTGTTTAACAGGACCGTAGGCAGCCAATTCTTCCAGACTGTGTTCTATATCTATACCAAATTTCATCTATATTCATACAGCATCCATACATCCAAACATTCGTATTTATAATATTAATAAGATTTACACAAAACACGTAAACGTATTGTGTTACATTTAATGTGTTATTCGGCTATTGGTGTTTATATTAACTTGATATAAAATATTATCTATTATATGATAGATAATATTTCGGTTATGTAGATAAAATTCGCTATGTGCTAATTGTTTATAAGATATATAATTTATATATTTAATAAAGACCAAAATGATAAGATAACCGTAGTATAAAAAGGATCATTTTTTTAACGTCGACGTGGACGCTAGTGAATTGTCATATTTTAGTTTGATTTATGTTGAGGTAGCCTCGTCTGTATTTTGTAGTACGAACTTCAAATGATGTACATATTGTCATCAGACAATGTCTAATTAGCGAGTGTTGGTTACAGGGCACCTGACACAGTTTGCGGCTTACACACGTTTAAAACAACGTACCCCGCACGATTTAATATGAAATTAGAACACCACATTCTGCCTCTTGTTAAGTGACAATGAGTTTCCACTGCCGAAACAACAGAGAAAGAGACTAGACAATATATGACAATATGTTTTTGCATTTAACTTTTGGCAGGCAGACTGGCAGACTAGAATTGTAAATTGTAGTTATTCTTTTCCAAGGCAAAATTGAAAGAATGTCTTTTATTGAAGATCTCGAGTATAAATTTAAATAAAATGTTCATGTATACGAAATTAAAAAAACTAACAGACTTTTAAAACTTTTAATTTCTCATAGCATTCATGAAACTGTTAAATGCGTCGTCAATAACGGGCGTGATATTCTTTACGGGCTTGTTGTCGGTTGTCAACCAAATCGATCCGTTCTCTGCGTCTTCGTACATCTTCAACATTGCCTTCACCGCTGAATCCACGCTGTAAATAATACAAGATATTACTTTAAGAGCCAAATTTTGTCAGATAATGCTTTTATAACTGTGAAATGTAATTGCCGAAACACTTGTATGAAAACATATTCTGTGAAAAACACAAATGATTTTTAAATAGATGTTTCGGTATAGTACAGCTATTGTAAAGTCACTGTACCTAATCTTTGTTGCAAAAAAGTTCGCTAGATTTTAACTTTTACCGATTATACCGTTCTGTCTTTAAGTAAACTTTTTGAAATAAACTTACGATTGTGTGACAACTTCGGAATTGGTTAGAACATTTTCAAGTTTCTCTCCAGCTCTTTCATCACCGCCTCTTTCTTTCAAGTTGTGTAAGAGCGGCGTGTCCGTGGGACCTGGGCATAGGGTTAGTATTCTTATACCCGCTTGCTCGAATAAGTTACCCTGAAAAAGCTCGAAAGGTTAACGGCGAATCTCTATTGCCGTAAAAGATTCCTCCTCCTCAGTCTCTTACAATTTACAAATTACAACTACATATAAATGTTGGCAATTTTACTTGTAAAAAAAATAATAACATTTCAACACCTATGTGAGATCGAACTATTTCGATTAACACAACGAATAAACAATATTTTGTTAATTTAAATTGTTTGATATTGTAGATTTATTCAATTTGCAACACACACCGGAAATCATTGAACACTGATCATCCGGTGCCGTCACGTCCATAAATCTATCCGTTCAGTTGCGTTCTGTTGCAATACTGCATCGAGGTACTTCTGTCCTATATTTTACACCACCTTTTTAGAGGGGAATGCTTTAGGCATACTCCGTGCCTCAGGGAAGGCATAGTAGTTATGTAGGATACTCTCCCTGCATAGATGCATATCCACTAAACTTGCATTGCCTACTGTTCAATGGAAAGTGTTAGTGTAGTAGTTAAATGAAATATAAAGTTCTCAACTAGTGCGTTGAAGTCTTTTCTGCTCTGAATCTTGGTGGCTCAAGGCCATTTGCGAGCTCCGCAATGATCTCTCTCCGCATCCCTTTACAGCACGCTAAACCTAAAATTGTGTTCGGTGCAGGGATGCATACGAAGTTCCGAGCCACAAAGATATTTGAAAAATTGTATACCATCATTCGAACATACCATCACCAAACATCAGTTAGGTTCTTAATGACCAATAGTTATAATATAATTATAATATATTTGTACGTACAGCGATGCATTGTGAGAACTGTAGGACAGCAGTCTTGGTAGCGGAATATGCCGGCAGCAGGTCGCCTTTAGTTATCGCCGCGACGGACGCTATGTTAATGATGGTACCCCCAGCACCGCCATCGTCCGTACGCATGTGCTTGATGGCTTTGTATGTGAACGATATCAAACCTTGCTGTAAATGTATACGTACGTTAACTGTTGTCGGCGGTTAAAGGTTAAAGCAGAATTACAGGAGCTGTTAAAGGGTTTAAAGCCTAATCAACACAACACGCATTGTTTCACGCAAGTTAAACATTATTTCTAGTCACATATTATTGTAAATATTTATGATTCATACCAGATCTCCTATATGTGGCAGATCCCTTTACAAATTCGCTGAGTCATACTATGTTTTTTTTTGTAATACTCATTCTACGTAATTAATCTCCTAAATTGTTTGAATAATGATTAAGTTAATCACAAATCTTTGCCGATTCGTTTTGTAATGGATTTCAATTCATTGATCCCGTTAATTTTTTCTGGAGTTTAATATATTAAAATAGAGATTTCCTAAGTTTAGAGTACACCAGGACCAGTGAAGATCAAATTGAAAGTCCTGAAGTTGAAGAAAAAAGCGGTCGCAGAAACCATAAATATTTTGAATGCGGATTAAGAGAAAAGAAGTTAGGAAATCTCTTTATTAGAATATGTATCTAGTTATATAAATTTCTGTGCGTGTGTGTTTACTTACCACGTTGACGTCGCACATCTTTCTCCATATATGAGGCGCGTCGTTCATAATTCCTGCATTATTGAACACAATGTCAACAGTCTTGAACTTGGCAACGACCTCATTGAATGCTGCAGTTATGCACTCCTCATTGCCCACGTCGCATTTCACGAAGATCACCTTCCCAGGGTATGTCTTGTTCATGTCAGCGGTGAACTGCTTTCCTGCATCTTCAGCTATATCTAGCACAGCGACTTGCTGTTGGAAACAATCATTTTGTTATATCTAGCCTTTAATTGTTATAAAATGGAAAGATAGTAAAATCTAAAGAGATATAAACATTTTTTATTTTTATTAAAAAAAAATTACTACATTTTATTTTCGGATAGTTTCGATATTGTTATTAACGAATAAATGAAATTATATAAATAGTATTATAAATATAAAAGTTATAAATTCATAAGCCGTGAAATTAATTTGGTCATAGCGCAGTAGCTACGCGACATCTGGCTGTTTGGGATGACAATTCCCAGCCACATTGTGTATAAATTATTTTTTTTAAAATCACATCCTGGTATTCGTTAAAAGAAACTTACGTTAGACTACATTTTAAATACAAAGTTTTGATAAAAATAATATTGACAGTATAATATATTGATGAGTCTAGAAATATAGAGGCTACAAATTGGATGATTTTAAATCACTTATAATGCATGTTATTTATGATCTTACTTTGATTCCTGCCTTCAGGAAGCCCTGGACATACGCCGCGCCCAAACCTGACGCTCCTCCGGTGATAAGCACCGATTTCCCTTTGACGTCCCAATGAACCATTTTAATTGACGTATCAAAATATACTGGCGAAGTATCTTTATTCAACCGCTTATATATCTTTATTATGCTTTTTGTTTATCAGTAATATACACATATTAATAAAATTGGAGTGTCTGTATCGAAAATAATATATTTCGTACACACACCATGTGTCCATTTTCGCGTGAAAGCGTCAGTGGCTCAGGGTTAAGCACATGACTTGTAATCTGTAGGTCCAGGTTTTGAATCCCGCCGTGTATCAATGTGTTTTTCGATTTACATAAACATTTATTTGACGTATTTACGGTGAAGGATAACTTCATGATGTAAGCTGTACACATCTGCGAAGAGATTCAATCCATCCCTCACTGGGCCAGCATGGTTGACTATGTCCTTGTCACCCTTAACTTAGGGTAGGCTCTGAAGCTCTCAGTGGGGTCGTATAGTGGAGTCATGACGATGGTGTATTTGCATAGCTGATAACGAAAAACATTTTTTTTAAAATTTTTGTCTGTCCTCAAGGCCGTATTTGTCAAAGGTAATCTCCAAAACGGCTGGTCCGATTTTGAGTTGACTTGGATTGGAAAGTAGCTGTTGCACGCTGTCATTTTATAGGCTACTTTTTTAATGGCGGACCGACAAAGTCGCGGGCGATCTCTAGTAGTTTGTATATCTCATACATGTCTTCAATAAGGATGACTTATCATATTTTTTATCGAAATTAATTTTTGTTTGTCACGATACGGTACGGGAGGTGTATGAGAAGGAGGTTTACGTATTATGTATATTGTAGATAAGATGATATTGTTGTTATCTCTGAAAAAATATGTTACTATTATAAATTAAATCATTTTTTATATGCAAGTAACATATATTAATATAATTAAATTATATCGATTTTTTTTTGAGTGATGGATGTTTGTTAGAAGGTATAACTCTTCAGAACTGTCTGACGGATCTCGAGGAATTGGTATAGATATAGAACTGCAAGAACACAAAACTTAACAAGTCTTTTTTAATTACGCTCGGACGAAATCTCGGATAAAAGCTAGTATAATATAAAAAAGAAACTTGTTGCTAATGAAGTGTAAGTTTTTGTAAAAATTGCTCTGACCAAAGGTCAACAAATGTTTGTTCTAACTTAAAAGCATTTATCATCATCTACTTATCCTGTCCTGATAATATTTTATCAGATAAATTGAATTGTACAGCAATCGAACAGCTCCTTCAGTGGAAAGTTAAATAAATTAAATATAAACTGAGTTGACCCGTTAACTTGTACCTTCTATTGTTAAAAAAAATCCATAGATTTACTTTAACTTTTTTTTACATGACATTTTAATTACGCTGAAATGTGTGGTTCGGCTTGATAAATATTTTTCCTCGGTACTTTACGATTTTTTTTTGATTTCTACATAATATTAATAAGTAATATAAACAGATAGAAAGTTGTTATTATTATTATGTATCAAATAAAACGAAGGGTTTTGCTATGTTTTATATCGTACACGAATTACGTGTTTCTTGACGATGTTATCGTAATTAGTTTATGCTTAGTAATGCAACTCTTACTAATATTATAAGTACGAATGTTTGCATGAATAATATGTTTGTTAGAAGGTATCTCCAGAACGGCTGCACGGTTCGTCGAAAAGTTACTATCACTAAGAAAACTCATGGATAGGGATGACCGTACCGTTCAGAAATGTTACTGTTTTAGGCAGATGGGTCGGAGTCTTTACTAGTAATGAAAAAAAACATATTGGTTGTTGTGGGAATTGTCACTTCAGAACATCGTTTCATTTGGTATGAGAGCGCGAATGACTCGCGGGAAATTGTGGCCCGTATCCCGCCGCATCCCGCTCTCCCTGCTACGGCTCTCTTAATTATTTGTACGCTGATAAATGGAAGAGTGGTCTGGCTGGATTAATATTTACCTTTTTAAATTCATGTACACCATTCAGCTATAATCTGCCACTCGGCACATTTATTTATTTTGATGGTTATAATGCTAATGGATCGTGTAATATTTAAGATATTTTTTGTAAATTTATTTGTACGATTTCAAACCTCAGTAAATATTATATATTCTTCGCAGCTCTTATTCGTTCCTCAGAGGGTTAGAATAAAAGGTTATTAAGCCTCATTTGGAATGTTAAACTTCACAGAAATGTGCAGTTTTCAACATGATGTTATCCTTCACTACTTATTATCTCGCCTTTGTCCTACTCTATGTGTCGTCGGTGTACCCGTTTTCGTCTCCCAAATCTATTATCGTAATTTAATATTGATTTATTAGAATAATTCGTGACGTTAAAATATCGATTATATCTTTATTGCGGTGTATTGCGGGATTGCAACACAGCACAATAGGTTCGGTTGGGGTCGCGGTTGAATGTGAGCAAGCGAGCGGGCGACCGGCAAAGGTCAGATGAGCGATCAGCTGACGACAGGACGTCGACAATTTTGTTTGCCTCAGCACTTACTTTTCTATTGCGTTGACTTGCGTAGGTACGTTTTTAAGGTCAATAATTAGGATAAATATAATAGATATTAAACGATATACATGGTGTTTTAAATATATAGAAATTTTAAAGTGAGATTATAAAAGGTGTCGTTTTATATTAACAATTTGATGGAATTTATTTGTGAACAACTATTACTGTGTTAGTTTTCAAGAAACACATTTAATCAATCAGTAAGATCTGCATTGCGATGAGTTGGATTTGTAAACTGGGACAAACAACCTGTGCATACACATATTCGGTCTCAGGAGATACGTTTGGCAGCAAACATTCGATTAATCGAATAAAAACTGTCGAGATATCGATTGGGGCAATAAGATTACGATCGAATTATACGGTTTCGAACAATATTGTGCATGCAATTGAAAATTGTTAATGAAATTAATATATTGTAGCATGGTCAGAAATGCCGGTAACGGGGTCGATATCGTTTGAAAACGTTGCGTGTTGGTTGATTGTCGCGTGAGGTCTGGCGCACTCGAGTTTATTAATCCACCGATATATCGAACATTCTTTCTGAACGGTGTTATTTTTAATTTTCAGCGGTAAACGTTCTTTTAGTAACTGTAAACGATATTAACACATCTTCGATTTATTAGTGGCCAGGTTTATTTTTTTTACACCTCCATTGTTACGAACCAATGAAATACAATTGGGAACAAAATGTTTAAATGCGTATTTATTGCGATTTAAAAAAAATCTTTATATGTTTTATAAATAACTAAATACTACACATTTCCTAAAATAAAGAAATTCTTATCGGAGGTCAAATACAGTGCGTTTTATTACTATTTCTTAATAAATAGGCAGTAGTAGAAAAGGAGACTATCTGTGGTAATTTGCACCAGTGCCTTACAAGCGTCTGAATAGTCCTTAACTCTGGCTTCGTTTGGTTTGAGCGCAAAAACCCGATACGCGAACGAATCGCTAAGGGCTTACAAGATGCGAGCTAAGCCTAGCCTAGCTCGGTTTACGCGTAGGAATCAGTGAAAGCTTGTCGCTTACTAATATTGTGGCTTACCATGTATGTGAAATGATTTAATTTTCTAAAGTGAGAATCAAGTCTAATAGAGTTTTAGTTTCGACGTTTTAATGCGAAAGTTTAGATGGATGATGCATCTTTGTTTGAAGGTATCTCCAGATCGATTAAACGGATACGGATGAAATTTGACATACATATAGAACATAGTCTGGAAGAACACATAGGTTACTAATTATTTTTTAACACCGCGCGATGTGGAGTCGCGGGCGATAGCTAGTAAAATATAAATAGTAAATAAAGTAGATTCTTAATGTTGCTGCAAGGAATGATGTAATCATTAATTATAGCGCTTATTTAATACTGAGTAGCTATTTATATGACCGTTATTTACTTTATCGATGTAATGTTTTAATAATTTAGATTTTTAAACTATTATATATGAAAAATCATCTTTTCTGCAAGTTATTGTATTTGGGAGTGTAAATATGTATGTTAAAACCAAAAGATAAAGGTTAATAACTTAAAGTTTTTTTCTAATACACAAAAGTTTACAGCTGTGTTTACTTGTTTTTCATAATTTATATCGGTTACTTTTGTATGAAATTATGTTATGTTGTTTTATTTTCCAAATTTAATTTTTTTTACAGTTTCGTTCGGTTCGTATTTTCCGGAGTGTTTTAAATATAGTCATGTTTGTTTTTTATAATATTACATAGTTTTTTTGTAACGGAATTTGTAAAAGCTTGCCTACACGACTGTTGCAGTTAATCTTATCAAACGCAGGATGAGGCCAATCGTACGCCGTTTATAGAAATAACTGGATACATTACGTAACCCAGTTTAACACGGTCAGTTTTAGAAATAGCGAGATATATTTAGAAAGAGACAAAATAGGTATATTTTTAATTTTTTCCGGTTATAATTACATATGACATTTCCAGGCAGTGCGTTTATGACACATGCTATGACAAAGTGATAAGAAATAGGTATGCATATAAAAAATCTACAGACTTATGATGATTTAGAACTGACAAAAAATTACAAGTTATTTAAAACTTTGATGCTACATCGAATATTTTTAAGATAACCTACACTTAGTGTCTGTCCAACGTTTCTGAGTGCGCCAGTATTTTTAAGTGTGGCAACACTAGACCATGTATGATATGGCTAATGGCTCTGATGCAGTTTGTCGCAATGCAGACCCGGACTGGAAGCTCTGTTGTGACATTATACTTGTTATTTGGCACGATTTTTATCATCTTGATGTATTAAATTGTACCTACATTGATGGAAATGATAAAAACTTGTGATAACATTACCTTTTTTATGTTCTTTTTATTGATACGACCTTAGTCCCTTTTTAGATGATACACACTCATTTTACGTTATGGTATTTGAGTCTTATTGCCACAGAATCATCCCTTAGTGCAGAATAAGCTAGTTCTGTAGCGGCCATTAATCGCCAGTTTAAAAAGTAGGTTGATTATAAGATTAACCTATTAAAGTCGATTAACAGTCCAGTATTCCAGTACATATGTAGAAC